CACCCACAGACACACACATGCACACACACACACGGCCCAGCCCTCAGAAAAAGCAACCAGACCAAACCAAACCGGCCCATCTCGCCCCCAAGCAGCAGCAGCAGCAGCAGCAACAGCAGAGCAAAACCAACCGCGCCACCTCCCCACCACCCGCCCCGTGACCCATCACGACACCCCACCACCACCACCGCAAGAACAGATACGTAGCATAAGCCTTCCAGCCGCAGACCCGCCGGCATCAGCCCGCGCGCGGTGCCACAGCTTACTTACTTACTACCTAGGTAGGTAGGTACCTAGGCTAACCTAACCTACTGCGCTGCGCTGCGCTCCTCGTCTTCCGCTGCTGACAGTCCGCTCGCTCAGCCCGCTCGCTCAGCTCGGCCTAGCCAATCAACCAGCTGCTGCTGAAGCACGCCACGCCACGCCAGGCAGACGCAATGCAGCCGCAGCCGCAGCACCAGCCGCAGCACCAGCCGCAGCAAGCAGGAAGCAGCAAGCAGCAAGCAGCAAGCAGGATCAACGGCAACAGCAGCAGCAGCAGCAGCACGCGCATGCAGCGCACCGCACCGCACCGCACTTCCCCCCCCCCACACACACAAGCAGACGCACGCATGGCGCACGCGCCTCACCGCCCACACACACACACACATACATACATACATACATACATACATACATACATACGTCCTGTATGTCGCGCGGCAGGCTAGCTAGCTGCGGCCTCGGACGCGGACGCGGATATGCAGCACGCCCCGACGCGCAGCAACTATGTAAGGCCAGACATAGACGCGCGCATGAGCCCGCGGCGATCAGGCAATCAATCAGCAGACGAGAGATCGATCCCGTTACTGCGGTTTTGTCACCCTGTCTCCTCTACATCTGGTGGTTAGTTCGGAGCTCTACTACTACTGCTGTTACCGCTGCTGCTGCTACTACTTAGTTAGATCTCACTTCCCACAGCTGCAGCGCCGACAGGCGACTGGCGGCTAGATCAGCTGGGGGGCGAGGAGGAGCTACACACATACATACTGTAGCTAGCTAGGTAGTTAGCTGGGCAGAACGAGGTACCGCACCGTACTGTACCGTAAGTAGACGCGTGCACGTGCGCGCGCGCGAGCTCGCTCGAAACAGCTGCAGCTGCAGCTTCTCCTGCAGCGGGAAGGAGGCAGGCATGTGCGCGAGCGATAGACGCGTAAGGCAGGTAGGCAGATAGGTAGGCAGGCAAGCAAGCAAATCAAGCAGGCACACCCAGAAAAGCGCAGAACCCCAGTCCCGTTTCAATTCGTTTTGATTACCCTCAACGCGCGCGAGTTTTGGCGCGCGAGAGCAGTTAAAAGGAAGGAAGGAGGAAGTGGGAGACAGAGAGAGAAAAAAACCAAGAGGAGAAAAAAGAAAAAGTTAAAAAAAAAAGTCGGAAATAGAGAAGGAAAAAAAAAAAAAAAAAAGATAGGAAAAATAGCGAGTTTAATTTTTTGTGTTTGTCGTGCGTCATCATCTCTTCTTTCTCATCGCTCGACCGTCGCCAAATATCGCCGTCTCATCATCACCAGCCGTCGTCGTCGTTGCCCCACATGCGCATTTCCCATAAGCCATCAACATCCGTGATTCGTGTGGACGAAAAGAGCAGCAGTGGCACCCAACGCATTCGCGACGCAGTAAATGAAATAAAGGAAAAAAGCGCAGGAAAAAACGGAAATAAACGTAAAAAGGTTGAGAAAAGCGAAAAAACGATTGCGCATGGCCATATAGTCGCTTTCGTTTCAAAATGCTTTCGTCCCGCTTGTTCGACTCCCATTTGCAAACAAATCCTAGGGTCCAGCAAAAGGGGAAAAAATAAGGAGAAAATCAAGGGGGAAATAGTGAAAGGAACGTGGAAAAAAGAAGTCCCTCCCGAGCCCTTTGCCCGCGTGCTCTGAAATAACAGCGCCCAGATTTCCTTTTCCCTTGCCACGCACATGTCCCCGTCAGAGGAGCTAAATGTAGAATTTTCAAAACACACACACACATTAGCCGAAAGATGTCTTTTCGCTGCGGGGCGCTGTATGGGGCAGCCGCCAGAATTGGTGTCGCATCGCCATGCTGTCGGCGGTGGACGCGTTTCTTCAGTGTCGGGCCACGGCGCGAGGGAGGGAAGAAAGTACAAAAAATGCATCCCGCCGCCGCGACGCCCAGAGCGCCGGGACGAGAAGACAGTCGAGAATCGTTGCCGACTGCTTTTTTCGAAGCGTAATAGAGGAAAGTCGTTACTGTCGTTATATGCCAAGTTTGATGTCGGAGAAAGACAAAAAGAGAAGATGAATGAAGGAACAGCAGCTCGCCAGATTCGTGAGCATCGTCGCAACCACATCGTAAAAAAGGCCCACGTCGACGGAGGAGGGGCGGACATGGAGGCCGTAATCTCGCGTCATACCTGCAGTCCGGAGAGGAAATGCTCGTCCCAACTCGCGATGACCACCAGATCGGACTTTCCACGCAATTAAGGGGTCCACGGTGCGCCGGGTCGCAGGAGGCGTCTATCAGATCTAAAGACGAAAATCTGTCAAGCAGAACAAACGCGACCGCTAATCGCAACACGCGATCTATCGCCGGCGCTGAGCGATTGTGGTGTTGGTCCTTTTCAGGTCGCCACCAACACCGCCGAGACCTCCTACCGCACCGCCGATGGTGTTCTCGGTTATGGTCTTCCTCCGCTTGAGACCTTCGACCTCGTTGCCGTTGGCGTCGCGGCTGGCGGGACGACCGTAGTCGTTCTCGTCGTCATCCAGATCCCGGATGCGCTTGGCAGAGGGCAACGCGCCGTTGGGGGCATATTGGCTCGGATAGCCCGTTTGGAGGCTGGGGGCGCCGTAGCCGTCCGGTCCACTGCCGTTGGCGGTGCTGCGAGTGTCGCTGATGACGCTGTACAAGTTACTGGAAGGCAGTGTTTTGCCTGGAGTGCCATAACCGCGACTCCATTGCGTTTGGGAAGTGGTCGTAGTGCGGGGAGTCGCCCGTCCAGAACCGTTGTGGTGAGGGGAGCCGGTCATATCCGGAGACGCATGCTCTCCTGACAGTGTTCCAGGCGCCGATGAGGTTGCGTAGCCATACGTGTTTCGGTTGCTGTATGGGCCGCTGGTGTGAGTGTACTCATTGTCGTGCTCATGATCAGCTTCCTCCACTTCGCCAATCACTTGGCCGACTGGCTCTGTCGATTGACTCAACATGGCATCAGTCGGTTTGCTGTCCGTCTGCTGCACGGGCTCACCTCCAGTTCTCGCCGGTGGTGCCATCTCACTCTTGGCATAGGGGTTGGGTTGGACGGGCTGGCCGTAGCGGGCCATGGTCTGCTGCGCGCTGTACTGTCCGGGTTGGCTGGGCGCAGCACTGTACATCTGCCTCGTTCCGTCATAGGCCTGAGTGGTCGGGTACTGCTGCATGCTCTGCATTGTTCCCGGAGGAGTCGTTGCCGGCGTCGTTGGTACAGACCGGGCGTTGCTCAGGCTAGTGTCTATCGACAAAGGTTGGTTCCCCTGCATGCTCGAAACGCCAGGGTTGCCCCATTCGTAAGAGCTGCCAGAACTACCCATACCAATGATGCTCGACGCGCTCGTCGGTGGGGTTGGGAAAGTGTGAGCCCTGTCAATCGAAGGGCGGCCGGCTGAAGGATGAGGAGCGATTGTGTGCGGTGAGGACTGAATCTGCGAAGGCATCGAAGGATTGCTCATGGAATGGTGGTGCAAGGACGTCGGCTGTGAACTCTGGGGAGCGCCAATGTAACGCTGTTGTTGGCTGTCAGGGCGCCGGCGGTCCATTGCTGCCGCCATCGCGTTGCCAGCGCCTACCGAGTTTCGCTGGTTTGTGGGATGATACAACAACGCGCCGATGTCATGCACAAACAACGGGTACAATTGCTCAGTAATCTTCTCCTTGTTTGCAAAATCGAGCGCGCGCTCGAACGGAATCCTTTCTTGAGGTTAGTTCACCGAGTTCGATGACAATGGAGTTCGCTCGCTCGCCGACTTACCAAACGCCCTTGAGATGCATTGGTCCAATCTTCACGACATGCCTGGTCTTCTCGCTTTTTAGAATGCCGTCACGTCGTCCTCTCGTCATGCCCGCAACGTTGAGCAATTTCGTGCCGTTAATCATGTGGTTATCTGTCGCGTGTCAGTCGAAAAAATGGCTCAGCGTCCGACCGGTCAATCTTACCCTCGCGACGAGCGACGCACACGCCCTTGGCCTCGACCTGGAAGCACAAGCTCCCTTCGTCTTCCCACAAGGTCGCAGTCACTCTCGGTTTCATTCCAGGAGGTGCGATTTGACCCGACGTGTCGAACTGATGGGTGGGAGGGTAGCCCTGCGATCCTGGAACCGCGGGAGCTCCCGGGCCACCGGCTGTCATTGCTGTGGCGGCGGTTAACGATGCATCGAAAAAACAAGCATTGAAGACTGTTCTCACCAGGTAACGGCAACGATTGCGGGACTAGCGCACTGGTCATGGTTGTCGATGATGGGGTGGGAGGGACCCCGTTTCCGTAAGAACTCTGGTAGAAGGAACTCTGAACCATGGAACTGCTCGGGCCATGTTGCAGGTAGGGCGGGTGCTGGTACCCCGAGTAATGGCCCAACGTGGACGGCGGCCCTGATGACGGCGCATGGCCAGGAGCGGGCATGTGCGGCTGGTGGACATCGGGATAGGACTGCATTTGGTTCATGCTGCCGTAAGAATCGCCTGCGTAACCGTAACTCGAGGAACTCTGCTGTTGGCCGAAAGGAGATTCTTGCGACTGCCCATTCAACGGATGAGTATCGCGCCCGAGTGATTGAGGCGCCTGCTCCGGGGACGGAGTCTTGAAGCCGGAATGGCTCCCGTTCACCGAGGACGAGTACGACGTATGAGAGCTTGCGCTGCTGTTGAGAGCCGATGCCGAGCTGATGGATCCACCCCGAGGCGAGGATGAGGTCGACGACGCAGTGCCCGCCTGTATCTGGGGTAAGGCTGGTAGGCGCTCACTCGATACAGTCGGTCGTGGCGCGAATTGGTTGGTGTACCACGATGAGTCGACGGAGCCTCGGAAGTGGACCTGCGAGATCGACGGCAGCTCCAGCTTTTCGGTATTGTACGGTTAGGATGAAGGGTCGGGATAAGGGCGGCGCCGAAGTTGAGAGAGCCTGAGCAGATCTCCAGTCAGTTCGTGGTGACGGGCGAGCGAGATTGGCGGCAAGCGAGTGCAGGATCTGAGCGGGCGTGCAAGCATCCGACGTCGGGCTGCAGCTGGCGCGCGACGGCCGCGGCGACGGCGAAGACGACTGGCGACAGCGACTGACGACGACGGCAGCGGCAGCGGCAGCAGCAGCAGCAGCAGCAAGCGACGGGAGAATCAGATCACGATTGCACGATTGCCGGCAAGCAAGCGTATGGAGGGTGGCTGATCGAGACAGCAGCAGGTGCGGGAAAGGGCCCCCACACGTGGACGGGGCAAACGGGCTCTCACCTCTCTCTCTCTAATAACCAACAACAACAACAACAAAATTACTTTGGTGGCACGGGGAATTGGAGGAATGGATCAAAGACACACAAGAAGGGGTCGTGGTCGTCAGGTCGTGGCGGGTCGTCAGGTCGTGGCGGGTCGTCGTGGGGCTGGCTGGCGGGTGGTGCAGCACACGGGGTGGGGGAGGCGGAGGTTTAGAAAGCGGAGGAGGTTGGGACTAGTGATGCGAAGAAAGGAACCCTTGCGCTGGCAATCGATCTGGCACACGGGTCAAAGAGAGGGCAGGTCTCAAGATGCGTGTGGGCGGGACGGCGCGGGCACTTGTCGCAAGGGCAGCTGCACGCAAGCGATGGCATCCATCTTCACACAAGAGCAGCAAACCCCCACGGCCCGCGGGCCCGGCGCCTTAATCAGCGGGATCGACTCGACGCGGCCGTTGAGCTGTCTGCCTGCTGCTCCGTGGCCAGTCCCCAGCCAACCGACGGCTGTACCACAGCGGAGCTCTTGCGGTGTGCGTCGTGTGCGCTGTCCGTGCTGCTCAAGCCCAGCGCCGTGGGCCGATACGAGGCCGGCATTCCTCAAGCTTTTTTTCCTGTCGCACATGCCTCGACCGCAAGCCCATGACGCAACATGCAAGGGCCAGAAGGAGGAGAGCTGTAGTCCGCGCGTGGAGCCCGCACGTTTGATCCCGACCTCCCGCCTCTCCTTGCCTGGAGCACGCTACGGGTCCGTCCCGTTGACAAGAAATAATCGTTCCTGCAGCCGCACGACTCCATTGGCCCCATGCGCCCGCCCGCCGTGCATATGCGTGTGATGAGGTCTCTGTTCAGGTTTCTACTCTCTCGCAGCCGTGACCACCGTGACCACCGTGACCACCGTGACCGACACGCACACACACACACACAACTTCACACAGCAGGTTAACTACTACTGCAAGAGAGATGTAGGTATACTAGTACTAGAGTGGTCTGGTTGTGGCTATGCTCCCCGCCTCCTCCTCCTCCTCCCAGGCTCCTTCCCAGTCCCAGTCCTTCCCTCTCCCGCCCGCCCGCCCATCCACCCCCAAAATGCCGTGCGGCCAATCATCTGGGGCCACGTCGAGGCGATCCAGCGCCCGTTATCGGCAGCTTGGCAATGGTAAGCCACAATGAGGACACAGGCGACTCCTTGCAGGCCGAAACAGCGCTCCAGGATTAGCATCGCGTCCGGCCATTGGCCCACCCGACCCAGGGCGCCGTTCCCGCGCCCAAAGCGGCAAAGATGAGGAGTTTTGCCGCCTGCTTGTCATCTCACCTCATGCTCTCCATGTGCAACCCATCTGTTTCTCACGCCGTTTTCTAGCGCCGCCAGCCGACCTCCTTCTTCTTTGCCGCCCCCAATCTCGCCCGGCCATCCTTGAAGGCTCCAGCCGTCTCTTCCGCCCACCTTGCCCATCCTCGTCCAAGGCCGGACCGGGGATCTTCACCGCCATTCTGAGCGAGGCTCATCCACCCCACCCGTCCAAACCGGGATTCGCCTTCGCCGCAGGGAATGCGATCCACAAGACGGCCTACCCCGCCCAATCTGCATCCTCGACCCTCTGGATTCTGAGCAACCGCCACCGGCGCACAGAGCTGTGACTTTGAGAGAGCCGTGAGAGCGAGCGAGCGAGCCTGCCACCCTGCCCGCAAAAAGCGTCCTGAGCCCCCCGCGCGCGCGCGCCAACGCCACTGACTCAAGAGCCCCCGGCTGGAGCCTCCACGGCCGGATCGCGTACGGCGGAGCGCGGCACGACATACTCACATGCATATGTACAGTACAGGCTCCCGCCGCCCGCACCACAGTGGAGTGCAGCACGATGCAGCCAGCCCAGATTTCCGAGAGCAAGTCTTGTGTGCACTCGCCCTTTGCCTCGCTGAAGATGCCGCGCTGGATGTGGATGTTGCCGCTCTGTCTCCGTCGAGAGCCTGCATGACCGCCGCCTGTCATCAAGAGCGAACCCGCTGCGCCGGTACCCTGCGAGTCCTGACGTTTTCCAGCGCCGTCAATCCTCCCGCCTCCTGCCGCTTTGAGTAGCGTCCACGAGCCCAGTCTAGACGCTCTTTCCGAGCAGATCCGCCTCGTGTGAAAGCCTCGCTTCGGCTCACGACGAGGGAAGCCTGTCGCTAGCCCGAGCAACGGCCGCAGAATTTTGCCTGCGCGGCCCACTTGTCACGCCGGGAATATTGAGATCTATTCTCTTCTCGACATCCAGGCGCTTCGGCAGTGAAACTCTGGTTGCTTTTTTTTTTTCCTTCTATTTTTGTTTTTATTAATCGCTGGGGTGATCTTCTTCGTTTTTTCCCTCACCCTCGAAGTGAGGCGTGCCCCAACAAGCTGCGAAGCTCAAGCCAGCCAGGAAATGAGCCTGGTAAGCAGGCAAGGTTGAGGGCGAAAAAAAAAGCAAGTCCAAGGCTCCGCTCTTGCGCTCGCAGTCCGCGCACCAACCAAGAGCACCAGCATGTCCCTGCATTGATCGGCGCCATTCCCGCCCCCATTCCCGTCTAAGATCGTGAGTGGCGAGCATCCGCGGGGCTAACAGTGACTTTGACGACTGGTCCAAATGCAGATCCCATTTTGCGAGGGAGGGGGGGTGCACCGCACTGCGGAGCAGGCCAGCCGGTGCATCGAGCTAGAAGATCGAGGGCTGTTACCCGTTCCCACTTCAAATCTCCTCTTGCTGCACGCACGCTAGACCTTGTCGTCGTCAAGATCGCTCGAGAGCCTGTGCTTGCTCGCGCTGTTGGGACTTCCTCGCCTGCACACCCTGGCTCGCATCGGGAGAGCTAGCCGTACGCGTACGCGCGGAGCCTATCGTCCTGGGGCGGCGGCGGCGGCGGCGAAGGCTTGGAGATTGTGTTCTGGTGTCGCACCGTGGTCGTTGTCCCCGCCATGGCCGAGGCCAGTAGACTGCTGCTGCTTGACTTGCTGCGGGCAGGCCTTTCCGACATGTCCGGACTCCGTTTTTCGTCCCTCTTCCAATACTGTATCGCTCTCTGGCCTCCTTCCACTCTGGTTTCTCCGTGGGTAGATTGCTGCTCTGGCTCGAGGCGCGCAGCATGCCGGAGGGTGCGCTCCGCAGATCAACGCACGGATGCACAACGCCTGTCAGACGCTGCTGCCAGCCTTATCTGCTGATCTGCTGGCGGCTTGCTGTGCTCCCACGATCTAGCTGCCTGCCTGCCTAACTGCTTGATTACTTTCCTGCTTGCTTGTGCTTGTGCTGCTGATACTGCCCGTTGCAGGAACCACTGCGCAACCCCGAGTGAGCGCGCGCTCTCTTGTTCTCCAGCCGGCACGTTCAAGACCCCGGCGCGCGTGCTCGAGAGGACGAGAGCACGCGCACACAAAGTCACAGCACTTGTCAGTGGGGACGCTAACAAGAGGGCGGAAGATGACGGATAGAAGCAGCTTAACAGCATAGGTTGGCAACAGAAGCAGGAACAACAACGGCAACATCACGATCATGATCACCAGCATGACCATGACCCAGGAACGCCAGCAGCGGCAGCGGCAGCAGCAGCAGCAGCAGCGGCGGCAGCAGCAACAGAACCCCTTCGCTCACCCTACCCCGCGTCCCACAAACCTCACAACACCAAATCCCTCCCCTCGCACCCCCATTATCCCTCCCAAACCCCCTCTATACGAAACAATCTATACGCGAAACATCGCCTACAACGCAGCCCCTAAGAGCCGCCCCAAAAGCAGACGGCACACACCCAGCTCCTCGCTCACTCCCATGCAGCAGTCAGCCAGCCACCAGCCACGGCCCACCACGCGCGCGCCACGGGCACGCACAGATTTGCACATACGTCCGTCCGCACATACGCAGACACGCGGCTGCTGCTGCTGCGCGCGCGGGAAGCCGCGGCCGCGGCCGCGACCGTTGCTGCTGCTGATGCTGGGTGGTGCTGGGCTGCTAGGTAGCTGGGTGGTGCTGCTGGGTGGGTGGGTGTTTGGCGGCGGCAGCGGCTGCTGGCTTGCCACGAGCTCACCCGCTGCCCGCTGCCCGCTGCCCGTTGCCCGCTGCCCGTCGCCCGTTTCCCGTTTCCCGCTGCTGCCCGCCGGGTGCTGGCTGGTTGGTGGTTGGCAGGTTTGACAGCTGCTTGCCTGCTTACGAAGTAGCTAATTAACGCGTAGTTAAGTGCTAGGTTGCCGAGAACTGCTGCCAGCTACACAGGCGGGTTGCCGAATTGACAGCGGGCTGCGGCGGGTGGGGCACTGGGCTTAGCGGCTGAAAGGCCGTTTGCGTCTGTCCGTTTTTGTCTCTGTCTGTCTCAGTCGGTTAGCCGTTGGCCGTTGGCCGTTGGCGAAGGCGTGCTGGCTGGCTGGCTGGCTGGCTGGCTGGTGGACGGACAGCTCCAGACCGGCGTACCCACCCACCTCCGTACCTGGGCACGCGCCGACTCACTTCGTACTAGGTAGTTAGTTAGCAGCAGCGCGACAGACGAAGCCACCTACGAACGGCCAACCACGCGCTCGGTCAGTAGGCGCCACACGCACTCACACATACCCACACACACACACCTCGCTACCGACCTACCTCGCACCCATCCTCCTCGTACCCGACACAACACCCAATACCCAATACGCGATACGCAAGACCCACGCACCGCGCCCCCATCGTGCCGAGCAAGCGCGCGGACAGGCCCCCCTTCTTCCTACCTTACCTAGATTCCCTCTCTCCATCCCTCCCTCCCTCCCTTCCTTCCTTCCTTCCCGTTCCGTCACGCGCGCGCCTGTCTCGCGTAAGCCCTTGGTGCGCGCGCGAGTGGCTGAGACGTCCTGACTCTGAGACTGAGACTGTGAAACGGCGCGGCTCGATGCGGCATGGGGCGGGACGGGACGGCGCGGGCGGGACGGCGCGAGGCGAGGCGAGGCGAGGCGAGACGATGCGGGCTGGGTCGGGTTGGGATGGGTAGGTAGGTCCGTAGATGCGTGTGTAGGGTAGATGGTGCTTGAGCGGTGGACACGTACGCGTGGGGGCGTTGCGAGCGTGTGGTGCCGGGCGTGTGGGCGTGTGGGCGTCTGCTTGCTTGCTTGTTTTTTTTTTTTTTTTTCTTTTCTTTTGCTTCTTCTTTCTCTTCTTCTTTTGCTGGGGATGCGTGTGCGGGTTTGCTGCGTGCGCGCTTTGGGCGGGAGGCCGCAGCGGGAGGGTGCCGTTGTGGTAGTGAGGGTTAGAGGCGGTGAGGGCGGTGATGTGTTGGTAGGTGATTTGTGGTACTGGACGGAGTGGGAGGCGGTGGGAGGAGGGAGAGAAAGTGAGAAGAGATAGAGGGAGAGGGAGAAAGGTGGGTTGCTCGTGGGCAGCTTGGTGAGTATGTAGGTAGATGTAGGTATGTACGTAGGTAAGGCAGCAGTAGCAGGTGCAGTGCAGAATGCAGAGTAGGGATTATGCTTTTTGTTGAGTTCTACAGCGTTTGCTGAGGAGAGTGTGTGCATGTATAGCCATGCATGTAGATGTGCGAGTACTGGTACATATGTATACAGTAGCGTTGCGTGGGTAGTAAATTTTCACTTCTTCCCACCATCACCACCAATACTATAACCACCCATCCATCCATCGATACAACAGCGCTCACAACCACACCCTCACAACTACCCTTATTCACGCCTCGTACGTGCACCACCGCTCTCGTCCCCTCCTCCTCATCCCCCCCTACGCCGCCGAACAAACGCCCCAGCCCCAGCCAGCAAGATCGAAAAACCACGATGCGCATATCCAGCGTCCGTTCACGTACAGGCTGCCCGTGCTTTGTGGACAAAGCCGCATGTATGATATCGGCATCACGACCTAGGCTCGAGGATACAGCCAGGACAGGCGTGGCAGCTACAGCTGAAGGGTGGCCGAGATGATAAAGCCGGCCTCTTCCTCCGCAAATGCTGCTTCTATCGTCACTGCCACTGCCACCACCACCATCACCACCACCTCCTCCGCCGCCGCCGTTGGTGTTGGTGGTGATAATGCCAACGCCACCATAACTCCCCACCTCCCACACCCCGCCGCCTATCACACCCACCAGCACCGTAAGCCCCATCTCCAACACGACCACTGCATGCGCACCCCCACCCAAGAACACCGCCCAGCGCACCCCGAGCACCGCGTCCGCAGGAGCAAGCACAAAACCCGCACACCACACCACACGACGCCACACCCCACGCGCGGCACACACAATCATCAGACAAGCAGCCCCCGCCCAACCAAGCGCGCGCAAAGTCCTGCGCCTTGGCCCGAGCCACGTCGTCGGCGGCCTGCCCCATCCCACAGCACCAGAACGAGACCAAGAAGCCCAAGCCCAAGCCCAAGCATGCGGTGGGTAGGTAAGTAAGTAGGTGGGCAAAGCAGCAGCAACGACAAAGACGAGAAACCCTCCCCCTCGGGGCAGACACCCGGGTTGGAGTGGTTGGCTGCCTCGCCTTGCCTTGCGCGCGGTGGGGGTTGGGCGGCTTGTTTGTGCGTGCGTGCGTACGTACGTACATACGAGCGCCGTATAATGCAGCAGCGGCGGCGGCGACCGGGCCTGCCTACCTACCTATGCGCTGCCGGACGGAGAAAGGACAGGGCACCGCGTCGGGTGTCGGGTAGCGGGAGCAGGGTAGGGGAGCAGAGAGGACTGACTGGTTGGAGGGTTTTCGGGGCGCGCAGTGTGGGCGGCCGTTGGCGCCGCGAATAGGAGGCGCGTTTGTCGGCGAGGCGAGGGGGCAGTGGTCTGCGCTCGGGGGTTGGTCTGCCTTGTCTTGCGTGTGTTTTGTGTGTGCGGTTTGGGGCGTTGCTGACTGTGTGTTGTGTTGCCTTGTTGACGAGTTGGGGGTTCATGTGGTTGGTTTGTGGGTTGCTTCGCCTTGAGCGGTTGGCTGTGGGATAAGGCGTACGCGGAGATAGCGGAGAGGATGTATGTACTTGGTCTGGATGATTGTCTTCATTGCTTTTTGTTGGCTCAACAATCTTCTTTCTGGCTGTTGGATCATCCATGGGATCTCGGAAGGGGGGACTGTCGTTATCGGCCTGTGCGACACTGCTAGCGTCACGAAGGTCTTTTCGTGATCGATGTGTTATGTATAGATGCTAATGTCAGTGAGCTCGCAGAACGCAGTGAGTGATGCTTGTTTGGGCTACGCAAAGGTAGCCTGCTCGCATACCCTTCCCCAAGAAACTCACCGCCGTCTTTGAGGTCCCGCATGCGACCTCTTGTTTGGGAGAGTGATTCATATCACCCCTAACCCATAATAGTGCCGCGTAAGAGTGTTGTGAGATTTCTTATGATAGTAGATGTCAAGCAGAGACAGGGCGACTGATGCCAGCACCAGTATGGTTTCCTGTGAGTTAGTGTAGAGTAACAGGTATATCCGACGCAAATGGACGCCTTTTTCCGCCATGTTGATGGCAATATTGCTTGCCACCCGACCATTAATAATGCTGGTGTCGAATGAGCGATTTACAAAGTACGAAGAATAACAAGAAAAAGAGGCGCAGACCAGACGTACGTTAACACAGTTCTAATCTTACTCTAGCCAGATGGAGAGGTCCATCACCGTAAGCGTTTTTGCCTGAATAGCATCATTTTTCCGATGTCAGTGTAGCCGCCAGCCAGCTATTGGCCTCAACTGTCCCAACGAGAACTAAACCACCGCACTACCTTCTCGATACTCTGATCTTATTATAACATCCTGGGAGTTTGCGGGCATGTGATAGATTTTAGGACCGAGGCTTGCTACAGCTAGGCATGTGATGCAAACTTTTGTTGCAGTTGCTGTGCAACAGTCACTTTTCAGTATCTAACCACTGCCGCAAATCAGGTGCTACTGGACCCTTCAGTCTTATCCTCGCTTGGTTCCTCGGAGGCTTTGTCAGAGTCAAGGGTTGGCTCCTTGAACCCTTCGGCAGAGCCCGTGTTTGATCCCTCGAGCTCTCCGGCAGATTCCAAGTTTGATTCCTCGAACTCCCCGGCAGATTCCATGTGTGATTCCTCAACCTCCCCAGCAGATTCCACGTTTGATTCCTCGACGTCTCTGACAGACTCGATGTTTGATTCCTCGGAATCTTTGGCAGATTCCATGTTCGACTCCCCAGAGTCATTGCCAGAGCCCGTGCCAAATCCCCCTTCCAGATAACGGAGCGCGTTATCCATGTTTCTACCGGAGTAGAATTTCTGCAGGTGCTCTCTCTTCGTTTCAAGAAGCTTGAAGTTCCTCCCCACAAGTGGAGTTAGAAGCAAGGTTCCATCGTTGGCCTCGAGTCTCAGGAGTAACTCCTCCCTCAAGACTGCCATGGTGGTCTGAACGTGCTTCCAGCAAAAGCATTTACGACCAAGGTCATTGCTCTTATCGGCCGGGTCGCGAAGGGAGAGCAGGTAGGGTTGGTTGGGGTTGACTTTTCCTATGCCAAGCTGATCTTTAAGTTTCTGCAATTTGTCAACAGACTGCTGTCTATAAACAAGGGAAAGACTCACTTGTTTCTCTTCGATCGATTGTTTAGGTTTAGCCTCAATTTTCTTCGTTAATGACGGTGGCTCGATTGAAACCCAGAGTTCGTTGGTGTCCAACTTCGTGTAGAATGTGAGGAAATCAATGAGATGCTGCGCAAGGCTGTCATTCTCGGGCCGAGGGTGGAGCTTGAAACTAGCTACAACCATCATAAAGATGCTGTAAGAACCAAGCCCACCAAAGTAAACATCCGTAAGCCCTCTAACTTCAAGCATTTGCCTGACCACAGTATAAATAGCTCGGAGCGCTGGGTACTCCTCCATATATTTTTTCATTACCCCACGTGCGACTACAGTATCATTGCTGGCGACGATTTGTATGTCTATGCCAGAAGAAACATGTAGCATCGACAAAAGAGGATACCGCGAGTGGAGCAAAGTACAATTTTTGTATTTGGGGTTTTGCCGGAAGTGCTTGGTAGCTTTGTGGAGAATACCGAGCAAAGCCTGCCGTGTTTGAAACCTGGGAGGAAGGTTCGATTGGGGGTTCTCATACTCAGGAGCGTAGATGCGTAGGTCGACGTCTGAACTTGCAAATGCCAGCCCCGAACGTTGAGAGCCGAAAAGGTCCAACTGTAAGCCTGGAAATCTATCCTGGAAAGCTTTTGTTGTTTGATCTACGACAGCCATTCGCGCAGTGTCTTCCTGCGGTGTTGTTTGCATGTAAGTGGAAAAGGCGCTGATCTCGGCATTGAGCCTACAAGTTATTAGCTATTGTTAGATCCAACATCCGGCGGCCTTGCAACGCACTTCGTCATTGGATTGTCACTGCCTACGCGGGACAGCGCGAACCATGGCAGATTATCGTCTGCAACGGGGACATCACCCAAGGGATCAATATATCGCCCCACGTAGTTCGGAGGTGGGATTTCTCGATCTGGAGGGCCGCGGTTTTGGCGTGTCTTCGTCGGGCCCTTTCGCATGGGTTTTTTGCCCTTCTTTTCTGGGTGGGCTTCATTGTTGCGGTTTTTGTTGCGCCTAGGATGAAGCGGGACGGCGTAGTCAAGGGGGGGATGATAATTGAAGGTTTTTGTGAGGTTGTTGGGGACGGTGACGGGGTGTACGAGGGAGCCACGGTTGGCGCGGCGCTGGGCCTCTAGGGTTTCTTGCAAACTGGATGGGTTGACGTTTCGATTCCGATCATCTTGGAGCAGAGGATTGCAGGCGGTGGAGAAGGACCTGGGGATTCTGAAGAGGCGCGACAGCAATTGAGCCGGGCAGAGGGCATTGCGCGCTCTGCAAATGCCGGACATGGTTTGGGCGAGGGCGAGGGAGATCCGTTGCTGGTCAGTGACGGAAGAAGGAGCACCGAGGGTGCGGGCTTAGTCATCCCCGCTCCGCACCAGCGCACACTCACCTTTAGGGCACGTTTGGACTTTAGGCACCGCGAACGGCGCGCCGGCTTGCGGGCTTGCGGGCTTGCGAAAAAATTAAAAAAAAAAAAAAGTCGCGCTTCACATGCCGCCGTCGCGCCTCTCGTCATAGGCGTGTCCCGAAGGAGCAGGTGGAGCAGCGCCGTCGAAGGCGCGAGCAGCAACGACGAAAGTTGGCAGGGCCGTGCGATGACGCGCTCCTAATGTAATGGCCTGGACGCGGCCGAGGGGCAGCTTAGCAGGCGACGATCTCCCTATATACACTCAACCCGTCGTTTTCTGCCCTCGTCTTGCCCGTCTTCCTCCGCGTCGCACAAAACCCTGCCCTGCCTTGTCTGCCCCTCCAGCCCACCCTGACCCCTCAAGGCGCACCAGCTCGTCGCTCCCGTCCCGTCCCCAACAACAAACAATTACGTCAGGCGCGACACCGTCTGAGCCTGGAGTCGCAGTGCCACCCCTTTTCCCCGCGCTGCCATGAGCAATCCACCGAGGCCTGCTGGCGACCGTACCCAGTCGACGCATCCTGCGCTGGACCCCAATATCACTCAGGTCCCCGTCACCCCCGCCGCACACATTGCTGGCCAGGATGCCTACTTCCAGCCCCAAGTCGAGTCGCAGGAGCCCCCGCTCCCTTTCGACCCCGAAACCGTTACCCCGGGCCCCCAGTGGAATCCAAACACATACTTTCCCCCGACCCAGCAGCCCGCCGGCGCGAAGAGCGCAGAGGAGCTGCTCAAACGCCTGAGCCGCAGCGGCGGCGACTTGGCGCAAAAGACCGATCTGGCCGACGTCGACCCCCAGGCGGCCCATCCCAACTTGAATCTGAGCGGCGGCGTCATCAGCGCGACCTCGTGCGTGCCGTACAACATTAGCTATTCGCCGGGTAATGACTGGGTATGTTCGAGCATCACGCTAGCTTGCAAGCTTCTAGACTAATCATCAGTGGTAGGAACTCCGGTCTCGCCGTGGTACTTCTGCTCTTTTCGACTCGTTTTCTTATCTCGCATCTTCGTCTTCGCCTTGGAATCATACTTTGGTTGGTTGGACCGGCGAGATCAAGGTCGCTGCGGATGCGCAGCCCGTTGTTGGCGACAACGGGGCGGGTGCTAATGGCTCCGCCCCCCTCAACAAGGCCTCTGCACCCATTCCCGTCGACGCCACGGCCAAGCCCGAGCAGCCGGCTCAGATTGAGGGGCTTAGCATTGACCGCGAGCACCGGTCACGCTTGGAGAGACAGCTGGAACGGGACCATGGTGGGAAGATCGTTCCCGTTTGGCTCTACGACGAACTCCACGAGGATGAAGACGTGGTCGTCTTGAAGAACCAGAACAGATGGCGCAGATACGCCGAGCATGAGCTCTACACACTATTCCACTACAAGACGAACGAGCCCGCTGATGGCCGTGCGGCGCGCAAGTCCTGGGCGGACTACTACCGCATGAACAAGATGTTTGCCGACAAGATTCTCGAGGTATACAAGCCAGGCGATATCATCATGATCCACGATTACTATCTCCTTTTGCTGCCTAGCCTCCTCCGGCAGCGCCTCCCGAATGTCTACATTGGCTTCTTCCTCCATGTTCCTTTCCCTAGCAGCGAATTTTACCGTTGTCTGAGCCGAAGGAAAGAGATCTTAGAAGGAGTTCTTGGCGCGAACATGATTGGCTTCCAGTCGTACAGCTATTCTCGCCATTTCTCCTCCTGCTGTACGCGCATTCTTGGCTTTGATTCATCATCGGCGGGTGTCGATGCGTATGGCGCTCACGTAGCAGTCGACGTTTTCCCCATTGGCATTAATGCTGCGGCGACGCACAAGGTCGCGATTGAAGATCCCGTGGTGTCGGAGAAGGTAAAGGGCATTAAGGAACTTTACGCAGGGAAGAAGCTCATTGTTGGACGCGATCGTCTTGATGCCGTCAGGGGTGTGGCTCAAAAACTGCAAGCATTTGAGATATTCCTTGAGCGTTATCCCGAGTGGCGCGAAAAGGTTGTCTTGATTCAGGTTACCAGTCCTAGTAGAAACCAGGAAGATCGGGACGACCCTGACAACAAGTTCGTCAACAAGATCTCAGATCTGGTCGCAAGGATCAACGGTCAACATGGATCCTTGAGTTTCTCTCCGGTTCAGCACTTCCCGCAATACCTGTCGAAGGAGGAGTATTTCGCTCTCCTTCGCGTCGCCGATGTCGGCCTGATCACAAGTGTCCGTGATGGCATGAACACCATCAGTATGGAATACATTATCAGCCAAAAGGAGAACCAAGGCCCTCTGATCCTCTCGGAGTTCTCTGGTACTGCCGGAAGTCTGGCGAGCGCTATCCACATTAACCCGTGGGATCTTAGCGGCGTTGCGGACGCGATAGAGAAGGCGCTCACCATGCCCCCTGAAGAGCGTAAGAGCCAGCACGAGAAGCTGTACAAGCATGTTATCACCAACAACGTACAAGCTTGGACCAACATGTACCTCCGCCGTTTGCTGACTAACCTTTCTTCTTTTGATCAATCATTTGCCACTCCTGCTTTGGATAGGGCAAAGCTGCTTAGCCAGTATAGGCAATCGAAGAAGCGCTTGTTCATGTTCGATTACGATGGCACTTTGACGCCGATCGTCAAGGATCCCCAGTCAGCTATTCCCTCTGACCGCGTAATCCGGACCATCAAGACGCTGGCTTCGGACCCGGCAAACGCCGTCTGGATCATCAGTGGCCGTGATCAGGCCTTCCTCGATGAATGGATGGGTCACATTACGGAGCTCGGTCTCAGCGCTGAACATGGTAGCTTCATGCGCCACCCAAGGAGCGAGGAATGGGAGAACCTGACCGAGAAGACGGACATGAGCTGGCAATCGGAGGTCATGCAGGTCTTCCAGCACTACACCGAGAGGACGCAGGGTACGTGTTTTCTGATGCGGTCAATGTCTTCTTACTAATTGGATTCAGGCTCCTTCATTGAGAGGAAGAAGATTGCCCTCACCTGGCACTACCGTCGCGCCGATCCAGAATACGGCGCGTACCAGGCCCGTGAGTGTCAAAAGCACCTGGAAAGCACCGTCGCGAAGAAGTATGATGTCGAGATCATGACCGGCAAGGCCAACTTGGAGGTCCGTCCGCGGTTCGTCAACAAGGGCGAGATTTCCAAGCGTCTCGTGGCGGACTATGGTGACGATGCTCCCGAATTTGTTCTCTGCCTGGGCGACGATTTCACGGATGAAGGTTAGTGTTCCCTCATTGTCAGCGCTTTGGATCCGACACTAATTGCGCAACAGACATGTTCCGCGCTCTGCGGCGCTCGAAGCTGCCGGACGATCATGTCTTTTCGGTCACGGTTGGCGCCAGCTCGAAGCAGACGCTTGCCAGCTGGCACCTGCTGGAGCCGTCAGACGTTATCTCTGTCGTTGCTTTGCTCAACGGTTCGGCCGATGCGGGCAACATTGGTGCCGTGGCAGTGGTTGATGGCACGGTCCCCGACACCAGGGCTTGAACGTCTTTACGAAAAACCAAGAGGATCACGACAGCACTCCGAAAGGCGCAGTGGATCGGACAGGGCGGCGGCCGGATGTGCTAGATACCTTAAGCACGATAGACGCATGGGTACTTTTTTTTTAATAGAGACTTCGTATTTGTATTTCATCATTGAGTTGAAGCGTCCACTGTGTCGGAGGCTCACTCGGGACGTGGAGGCCCAGTCCCACAGGGTGACGTGCGGGGCGGACCGTCTCGGAGACGGTAGAGGTGAGACAAGGCCCAGGAACAGGCACGGCCGCGACTCAGAGGCCACGGTGCGAATCGTGAAGGGCCGGCCAATGGAAGGCGCCTCGTGGCCGCATGGGCTATTTCCAGAAGGCGCAGAAACAATAGCGCTAAGGCTAGGTTAGTGAGAGCCTAAGAGAGGAAGAAAGAGAGAGATTGGAGAAGACTCATTTCAAGGATCGACGTTGCTCGACAAGAGGCTCTGCTGTCGTCGTGTTGCATGCATGTTTCAAGCGGGTGGGCCCGACAAACGACGACACGAGGCGAGCGGACGATGCGTGCCATGGGATGCGACGCGAAGCATGACGGACTTGCAGCGGCCAGGCTGGTGGGCTGGGAAAGCGTCGAGGACCAACTCTTGGCGCGTGCCCCTCGCCCACAAGAAGCCCCTGCTCGACATCCCTCCGCAATCCCGCGTATGCGCCCTGGCCTGGAACCTTTTTGTTCTCTCTCTCTGCCCTCTTCAGCCTCTCTCTTTTCCAAGCCACCGTCTTCTCCCGCATTCATTCCACCCGCCCCCTCGTTCTCACCCCCCTCCTCGCTCTTTTCGCGGTCCGCTTTGCGCCATCCAACTTCGCCCGCTGCCCCTCCCGGCCCTTGCCCACCCCATTGATCACCACAACGATCTTCCACCGTCTCCACGTTCATTATTCTTACCTCATCGTCTCATCAATCGGTGGCCTGAAAGTACGACCCGCCCCTCGGGTCAGCCCTGAACAACGCACCACCGTTGCCGCTTGCCGTCATCCTCTCGCACCGGTCACAAGCCTGCTTGGAGACGCTCGAGACGCTGCTTATCTTCACTCGTCTTGCCGACTTGAACACCACTCTTCCACCTACTAGTCCGTTCTCGTGTGTCTGTCCCTGGAAACCAAGTACTGTTCCTTGACGAATTTTAGCTGTTGTCTCAGTTACTCTTCCACCATGGGTCTCTTCGATAAGCTGCAAGCCAGTAAGTGCCCCTCCAGTCACTATAAAAGCATTGATGATATCTTATTCTATGCGAACCATGGCCCCCGCACATGCTAACGCCTCAACCCGCAGAGCTCGAGCTCTACCGTCTCGAGCAGCGCTACACGCGCCGTGACAAGCGCACCACCTTCATCAGCGATGCCACCTACGTCGACGGGGAGTACGTCTACACTGGACACCCGACGTCGCCAACCTCGAGTGTCTCGCGGCGCTGGAGCAAGATGCCCAGCGCGGCCGTCAGGGAACTGGCCCGGTCCGGCACCGGCAGGTCATAAGCGCCTTCCTCCTTGTAAAAAGAAACCATGTCCGTCCCGAGGAACTGGGCGGGCATACTCGAAGGACTTCCTTTCGATTAAGGGGTCCTAGGAAGGATGAGCTAAGCGAACATGGATTACGACTGTTTCACAGAACAGCAAGAGGCGCTGCGGAAAACATGGGGATGGCGCATATTTTTGGAGGTGACAAGCATGTTGTTGTTTTGTCCCTTGATCACTCAACGACAATTGGCACCGGCTGCCTGCTCGGAGCGGTTGTGCGCATGCAGGGCGCTCGGGCTGGGCCACACTGCATCCACATCATTTTGGTCGGCCGAGAAGGACCCCGTCACGACATGGCCCGACCACCTACAGCTTCTCATGCGCCACGCACCTAGAGCGAGCATTCGCCTTTGTCGGATTGCGTTGCATTGCATCTACTACGATTTTTTAAAAAAGAACGGAAGGCGTTTGGAGAAGCGTCTACCATTTGTCATACGGATGGATTTTTTTACCTTCTACACTTTCATGTACAATTCTCCCCATCTGTCACTCCTTACCTCGCATATCTGTTTTTTAACTGCCTACATTTTTGCTTCGCTTCATCGCTCTCGGCGCTTTTAGATATCTGGCGTTTTCCCAATTTTTGTTTCTTTGGTGGGGGTACGAAATGCTTCGCGCACTTGCTCTTCTTTTCCCTCTTTCCCTTCACACCTCTTCGATACCAAACCAACTAAATCTTCCGTCCCCACCGCGAAGTGGGCTGCTTGAGCGCAAGAGCCCGGGACAAAATCAAGAATTCAAGACACTTTTTTTTCTACAATCTGCAATCTGCAAGCTAGAGATGTGTGTGTGTGTGTGTGCGCGCGCGCGAAGATCCGACCGCACAGTCGATTACACGTAGCACGAATGGATCCAAACGGCAGCGCAGAAGTGGTGAAGCGCAGTTGTTTTCGTGGATGGGGACGAGGCATTGAGTCGAGGGCCCTGGGGCGCGGCGGGAGGTCGAATCGAGACTCGCCACGATCATGCACGCACGCGCGGCTTGCCCACACGCCGGATTCCTTCGTCTGGTTTCGGCCCCGCTCTCCACGCCCGCCGCCGGGCCTCTCGTCTCGTTCAACACTCCTCTGTCCATGCAGCAGCCATCTCGGAGTCGCCGCCGCCCGCCGCGGCGTCTGCGTGACCACTGTCCACTGGCCACTGACCGCTGTCCAGATAGATGGGCTGGTTCGATTGTCGAGACGAGTCCAGTCGACGAGTCGACGACCGACTACCGACTCACGACTCGTCGTGGTTCGGGATCTTGCTCATGCCCACCCATTCACACGCACACGCACACACGCTCGCTCTCCTCTTGACTCTTACACATCATCATCATCATCATCATCATCAACATCCACTTGCCCACTTGCCCACCCACACCCACGCCCACACACGCAACTGTGCAACGGCGAAAAAAAAAAAAAAAAAGACACACGCCCCCACCCCACTTCCCGCTTTCCCCAGCGCCGCCGCCAGCAAGCAGCAAGCAGCAGCTGCATCGCTGCCCGCGCGGTCACGACTCGCGGCCGTGGCCGGGGACGCCGCGTCGGGAACTCGGGGTTGCAGGCTGGAGGTTGGGGGTTGCGGTCTAGAGGCTGGAGCGGAGTCTGGACCCTTGGTTGTGGGGGCGAGAGTGACGTGACGTAACGGAGTTGGTGCATGGGTGGATTGGTAGAGCAGGCAGAGTACTCTAGGTAGAGTAGTGAGGCGTGCTCTACCACAGGAGTAGGCACTCTCTTTTCTGTTCTACTGCCTATGTAGGTAGGTACTTTCTACGGTGGTGGTCTAGAGGAGGTGCGTAGTACCTAGGTGCTCGTCTATGTAGCTACAATAATACATCATACAAACCTGCTAGCTAAAGTAGCTGGTATAGCTTCCAACAAAAAGTGCTCCTGCATGTATGTACGAGGGCTGTTTCTCGTGCTTCGTCGCGCGCTTGTGCTTGCTGATGGCCGGCCGTGAGGGCTGCCTATTCTAATCCGTGTACCTACCTACCGTGCACCTGACGTCTTGCGAGGTGGGCGATGAGTAAGGATGAGCTAAGTACGAGTACAATAAGTAGGTGGGCATCAGGACGTCAGACTCTGGACCAGGACTTCCAGGCCAAGGGGTGGGGAGCTCGTTCTTGTCTTGACTCGGCGTAGTGGTATGGTACTGTACGTAGTAAGTGGACTCGGGATTCCGCATGCCACATTTCGCTGGACCCGCTGGTGTCGAAACGTTGGAGGCTGGGACTGCGGGGTGCGTGTGATTGGATGGCGGGGGATGCCCCGCGCTTGGGCGAGCGTGTGTTACGCGTCGAGGCGCGTTGGGGGTGGCTGGATGTGGGGTGTGAGGTGGGGTTGGGGTTGGTGATGATCGATGAACAACTACTTTGTATTTGATGGGCTGTCTGTGGGGTGTCAGAGTGTGAGTTGTGTGTCCATTGACCGTCCATCATCATCGCCCATTTGACTGACTACGCAGGCCGTAGGAGTATGCAAGCGCGCAAACCCCCACTACCTGCCAGCACCACCAAAACCAACACCACACCCCCCGCACCCACACCTACCAATCCTCCCGCCCCTCCTGCTCGCCCTGCTCATAGCTCTCCTCAACGCCCTCCCCCCAGCGCTCCACACTATCACCAAACCCCTCAACCTCACCGACCTTCTCACCCACCCACCCCGCCGCATCATCCACGCCCTCCTCGACATTCTCGGGAATATTCTCGACGCCCTCGACCGCGCCGTCCCAGGTGCGCTCGACGGCGTCGCCCGCGTCGTCCCAGCCCTGCTCGACGCGGTCCTCGGTGCGATCCCAACCTTGCTCGACCCGGTCTTCGGTCCGCTCCCAGCCCTGCTCGACTTCCTCGGGCAGGCGCTCCGCTTCGCCGACTTTTTCGCCCGTCCAGCGCGCGGCGTCGTTGGGGAAGTTTTCCGCGGAGCGCTCGATGTCGTTCCAGTTTTCTTCTGGGGCGGGTGTTAGTAGTGTGCTGGTTGTTGGTTGCTGGGTTGGGGTGGGATGGTGGGGTAGGTGGGTGGGTAGGTAAGCGGGGGAGGGCCAGGGGTGAGGAAGAGGGACAGCGGGGCAGGCGCACCAGACATGGTGAGGGCAGTGACGTGGTTTGTAAGGTGGGTAGGAATCTCTTCGGTAGCAGCGACGACGAAGATGCAATTCGTAGGGTTGAGAAGGGTTAGGGAAAGAAAGAAAGAGCGTAGGTAGTGCGTGCGTGCGTGTACGCGGTAGGTAGGGCAGAAGCAGATAAGCGGGCGTGGGGAGGGTAGAAAGGTGAGACAGGAGGGGCAGGGCCCGCTCCATATATATAAAAAGAACAACAGCCCCAAAGGCCAGCTTAGCTTACCAATCTTGTGCCCTTCGTGCATCAACAACGCACCCCCTGCCAGCCCCGCCGCAGCGCCCAGAGCGCCGTACATAAGGCCGTTGCCTCCAGACTTCTTCTCTTCTTGCTGCGGCGCGTAGCCTGCACCGCTGCCATAACCACTGCTTCCGTACCCTCCGCCACCACTGCCGCCATATCCGCGCTCACCGCCCGCTGGCGGTGGCCCCCCCTGGTAGTATCCTGCTTCCTGGTAGCTGCTGCCCGGGTGCTCAAAGGTGCGCGCGCCCGTCTGCTCGTTCACGAACAGCCATCGCTGCGCCGGCGCGTCCCAGTGCGCAACCCAGGGCGGTTGGACCTGCGGTGGGGGCGGGCCGCCGTAGCCGGAGGGCTGCTGCTGGCCGTATGAGGACTGGCCGTAGGACGATTGCCCGTAGGACGATTGCCCGTAGGACGATTGTTGTTGTTGCTGCTGCTGCGAGTCGCCGCGGTGGCTGAACTCGCTGACCATTTCGCTGAAGAAGCCCATGCTTGCTTGCGGGCGTGTGGGTGGGTGGGTGGTGGATGGAGGCGCGAGACGCGGGGTATGTACGTAGGTGAGATGCTAGGAGTAGGTACAGACAGTAGGCTGTAGTCCCAATCAAGCTAGCAAATAGCTTTTAGAGCAAGATAATCCGCAAGGTAGGTACCCAGGTAGGCAAACAAGAACCAACGACAACTGCAACAATTGACCGACGCAACAAGCCCACACCCCATCTTTTAACGTACGCACAGGCGATCAAACCAGCAAACGGCCACCTGGCTCTACTCGTACTGCCCGCTCTCTCTCGCCGTCAGTGGCGCAGCAAAAGGGGCCGTCACTCTGGGGCCAGGCCTGTCTGCCGCGGTGCCGCGGCTGGGACCCTGACGATTTCCGACCCCGCCAGGCTGCGCATCACGAGACCCTGCTTGCGCACGGCTGCTACCTCCTCTTTGCTGCTGTGCCTACATACTACCTAGTGCTACTGCTGTACTTGTTGTTCTTGTTCTTGTTTGTTGCTGCAGCCCCAACGTCGAGGCGCAAATGTGAACTGAGACACAGGGCCGATCTCCCGCGCCAAGCCGGGAGCTCGGGCTTGACGAAGCTTGTTTCCTCTCCCTTGCTTCTTCTCCCATCTTCATCATCCTCACCCTCCTCACCCACCCACTCCATCCCTCACACATACTCTCTCTCTATCGCTCACAGCAGTTACAGCAGCAGCAGCAGCAGCAGTACGCACCACCACCACCACCAACTCGAGGATTACGAGCAAAGAGATTAGAGGACCATGCCCGCGCGCCCGAGCTCCCGTATTCCCGGCGCGGCGCGTGCCGGCGTGCCGGCCTTTCCGGGCGTGAGCGTGCGTGCGTGTGCTGGCTGGTTGGCTGGCTGGTACAGCTAGCTGAGGATCGGCCGCTGCTGCACAGTGCGGCTGAGCCTGCCACGCCTGCGTAGGTATGCTGGGAGGCGGGAGGCTGTGAGGAAGAATGCCGTGCGAAGCAAGGGAGCGCGCCGCGCCTGCGCTTGTGCCATGTGGTTACGTGCGACTGCGAGCTAGCTACGGGAGGCAGAGAGCTCTTTCCGATTCGCCTGGCCTGGTACCGAGTGCCCACTGTCTCGGCGTGCTATTATTGGCTGTTCTGGGTTGCCTGCTTGCTAGAAGGGCCCCTGGCGAGCTACTTAACTGGTGACTACAATACATACGAAGTACATACCTATTTTAGGTAGTGTGTGGCAGCCGGGTTTGAGACACTGTAGGGCAGCTGCTTGGGTGCGAGGCCGTGTGCAGTGCGTACACACAGGATGTGCATGTTGGGCGCGACTGTGTCGAGATGGGTTGGGAGATGGCGCTTTGGGCTGCTGTGCGTGGTAGTGGGAGTAGTCCTGTGGGTGTGTCAGATGCATGCATGTGCGTGTGGGCGTGCCTGCTCTGCATGGGTGGGGTGGGTGTGGGTGAAGAATGCTGTGGTTGGGACGAGGGATGCTGTGGCTACTCTTGCGTAGTACGGTCAGATGGGGTAGATGTTGTTATCCATCCCCGCGGTAAGCGGTACTCCGTAGAAGCGAAAGCACGCCAAGTCACTCTGAATGCAGATTTTATCCCACCCATAGGAGCACGTAGGCATGCACGTAGGTGTGCACGCAGGACTCTAACCCGCTCCCTATAGATCACTCCGTATATGGACCGAGAGACAGCACTCGTGGTCACACATATTTCTTCCGAGGGACATGTAAATTAAACAACATCTGCCCCTCCAATCATTGTATGTTGCACCAAATGCATAGTCCTGAGAAAACACCGACTATTCATTACCCCTCCATGGCATTACCAACATCTCCTACGCCATTCTTGTGTAGGCCCGCTCAGGTCGACGTGACTGAGTGCCCAAGCCAAAGAACCGCTGGCCAATTCTCATACCGCAGGTGTGCCATTTACCCGTGTCCTCCGCGCGCATCACTAACGCAACTAGCCAAGAATAAGCCATCGCTTGCTCGCAAAATAACGGCTTGCTTTATGCCACCTCGTACCTAAGAGAAGGTGGTGGAGACTGCTCAATCGCACGAGACGAGAACGAAGCCGACGATGTGACGGTTCAAAAAATTATGTTGGCAGTCAAGATTGCCAGAATATTATGGTTCTCGGATTCGTCCTCGAGCGATGGTTTTTCGTGCCTCGGATGCTTTCGGCATCTGGACATTCTAACGAGTTTTGGATTCGGGTAACCTGCACCGTTTAAATGTGCAGGTAAGATCAAATTTCGGGTCCTTCCCAGGCCTCTAATAGCTTTAATGGCTTCGTGAGAGCCTCGTTGAGTACGGTGGCAGAATTGGAATTAGAAAGAACGGAATTACCGACACCTGTATCCGGAAATTCTCCATGATCGAATATGGATAGTGTCGTATTCCAGAAGTCCCATCTCATTTTCCTGCTGTGTTTGGTTCCGCTGCTTGCTGAACAAAATGAAAAGATGATAAAAAGGTCGATAGAATAGTATTTGAAAGGAATCGGCGTCTGCTGAGTAAAGCTCCAACTGATGGAAGACTCAGGTAGGATGCCAATGAAGCCCAACAACTGGGCTGCACTGCACCACGGCCCGTCGACAGCGGTGTCCGGCTCCAAGTCAAATTTCGCCATGGGCAACCCCATTTAGGGCTTACCGAGACATACAGCACTGTTTGCGCTTTCGAGGGAGCCAGGAAATCCCCGTGAAATGGATTTACAGCAAGTGAAGACAGACAGATCCGAAGCTCGCAAAGAACGCATCATCCGCACACTCAAGATTTCGATGGTCCATTCAGCAGGCCGGCCGAAGCCTCCTTCTCCAGACTGAGCTTCATCTCGAGATGAGAGTAAAAGTTCGGAGAGCGACAAAAGTCTACGTACAGCGCATCTCGTGCCCTGTGTCGCTGGAGAGGACCTTGGCCACGAAACTTAACGGACGTCCCGTGTTTTGCTAGGCTCTGCAGGAAGTCGGGCTCTGAAAAGTTGGCATATTGCAGGTTGCCGCCAGGTGAAATGACGGTCTGTGACATGCTTGTGGCCAAATATCTGATCAGCGGAGACAAGAATTGCGCCGTAAGTTCTGCAAAGTGACGACGGACCAACGGCCCGATGGTATCCATATTTGTTCTTCCAGATCGCATCATGTTGTCAAGCTCATCCAGGAAGGCGCGGTCTGCCTTGATGTATTTCTTTGCATCCTGCTTTGTATCGATGCCACCGGGAATTTCGAATCCAGGTGGAACGTGCTGTGACGTTGAACGGCGATGTTTGACAGGCACAGGAACATCCGCACTGTGCAAGTATACCACATATGGTCTTGTGCTACCACTGTTCTCCGCAGCAGTCACGATCCTCTTCAACAGGAACGGGTTGGTTATACCAACAATGAAGTGTCTCGAAGTACCTCCGTTAAGGCCTGCGGCACAAAATTCAGACTGCATCGTTAGGTAGGGCTTGATATCTCCGGCATAAGGGATTGGCTTAATCAAATCAACCAGCGCAGAAACGACCTCACTACAGATCTGAGGGCTTTTTGCAATGACGACAACATTCTCGCAGAGCAGCATTTTCTCATAAGCAACATACAGGTCTGATAGTGAGGTTAGAAAGGGCATCAATCCTTCCCATGAGGTCACTGGCTGATAGGCGTATATTGGCCCAGAGTTGCTGTTGGAGCGGTCGCTGGGCGAAGATATTAAGCCTTGGAGTGGGAATGCCAGATGCGGCGCGCTTCAGTACAGTCAGTACCAGTCTAGCCAGCATGGCGGAGAGGCTCGAGACATACATTTCAACAGCAAGCAAAGAGCCCATGAAAGGCAGCTCATGGCGCCCTATTGACGGAGGAGGCCATGCCGCGATCTGTGAGCAGGCAGCCTCAAATATGTTTGGGTCAAGCGAAATGCCCGTCAGGGCCATCTGGTGAAGCATTCTCATGTAAAAGGCAGGGAAGTTGTGGTTGGAGATTAGCACCAAGCTCTTCTGGTTGAAGCTTCTCTTGGTTGTCTGATCGAATTCTTGGCGGAATACGCAGTTGCCAAAAAGATTGCTCGGGCTGCCGTACGGAGAGCATGGCGAGCTTAGCAATATGTCTGGAGAGCGGTTGCGAATGGTAAATTGGAACGACAGGCCTTGAAGAGTTTCGGCGTTATGCTGCTCGGGGAAGCTACAGGAGTCAGATTATGACATCACACACGGAGCCTTTGTCCCAAAGGGCCAAAGGGAGCGTGGGGAAGGAGGCCGAAAGGAAAAGTCGAGGAAACTAGCACGGCGCATCAGGGATTGTCGCGGCAGCTCACCTGTTAAAGCATATGGCAGAGAGATCGGCCTGGGAGAAAGGCGTGTCGGGCGGATAGACGAAAACCACCTCGGGGCCAACGTCGACGTTGAAGTCGCATATGACGCTAATTGCACGGGTCAGCGCAGCCGGCGGGAGCAGACAGGAGGAGTGCGAAAGCGCGTACAAGGCTACGACCCAGTGGCGGAAGGCGGTGACGGAAAACGGACGGCTTTCCGACCTGCGTTTGTGGTGATGAAGGATGTGCTTGAGCTTCTCCATGCTGATGCTGATCTCGCCCTCTCGGGGCAGCCCCTGATGCGGCCGGGGGACGCCAGCGATAATGTGGTTAGGTAGAGGAGACGGCACGGTCAAGACAATAAATGTTCACGTTTCACGGGCGAGGCGAAAAGTGCATGGTGTTTGATGATTGTCGACGGCATCTGGACAAGGATGAGCCAAACCCCGGAGCGGTGAAACGTCACAGGCCTCGCCATTGGTGGTCGCGCCGCCGGGGTCCAGATGGAATTGTGACAACAACCAAGGCTTGAAGCTAACTCGCCATTCCTTCCCATGCCGCCATAACCTCTGCGACTCTTTGTTTTCTCGCGCTCGCTCAGAAGAACCACGTCCACCAGATTCCTCCCGTCCGAGCTCCTTCCCCGCCTATCTCGCGCGCGCGCGCCGAGCACGCCTCAGCTACACTACAACCGCAATGCTGTTTTGCATCATACCCGCCTAGAACGATGGACGCAAACATCCAGAAGGCGCTCAACGACAAGTTGTACGACAAGCGCAAGGCAGGCGCCTTGGAGTAAGTTCCCTCTCTCTGTCGTCGCCCCGCACCCCACGTCATGGCCTTATCGGCTTTTGCCCTCGTGCTCACACTCGAGCATGACGGCAAGCCATTCACCCACGGTTGACACTGACGCTGACACTTACGCCTCTAGACTCGAAGCTCAGGTCAGGGAAGCAGTCGCCATCGGAGACCATGAGCGCATCCAGGAAATCGTTCACCAGCTATGCCACGAATTCGCATATGCAGTTCACCAGCCCCATGCCAGAAATGGAGGGCTGATAGGTTTGGCAGCCGCATCGATAGCATTGGGCGGGGTAGGGAACACCACAACTACTTGCGCTGTCCGCGAAAGCTGACATCGACACAGGAAGTCGCACGATACCTCGAAGAGATTGTCCCTCCCGTCCTAGCATGCTTCTCCGATCAAGACGCCCGCGTCCGATACTACGCTTGCGAGTCCATGTACAACATCGCGAAGGTTGCCAAAGGGGAAATACTTCTATATTTCAACGAAGTATTCGATGCGCTGTGTAAAGTAGGCATAGATAGAGGAGCAACAATGCACGTTGGCTCAGCTGACATTGCTATAGCTCGCCGCCGACTCGGAAGCCTCTGTCAAGAACGGTGCCGAACTGCTCGACCGTTTAGTCAAGGATATCGTTTCGGAGTCAGCAGCTTCATACGTTTCTGTGCTGCATCACCCTGAAGATGCAACAGTAGAAGAAGACAAAACCTCGGTCATGGATGAGACTGACATACCATCCCTCGACTTTCCCATTGCCTTTTCTCTTCCTAAATTCATTCCTCTTCTCCAAGAGCGTATTAACGTTCTGAATCCGTATACCAGGACTTTTCTGGTTTCTTGGATAACTTTACTCGACTCGATACCGGATCTCGAACTTGTTGCATATCTTCCATCTTTTCTTGGTGGCTTGTTCAAGTTCTTGAGTGACCCGAATGGGGATGTTCACACGGCTACGCAGACGGCCCTGGAACGGTTTCTTTCGGAGATTAAAAAGATTGCACGCATCAAGCGTGGCATTGCAGAAAGCAGGAAGAGCCAGACTGAGGAAGGAAAGAAGAGCACCGCGTCAAGCATCAAGAGCGGTCGAAGCTTCCACAGCTCTCGAGACCCAGACCTGGAAAGCAACAGCGCCCGCGATGCTGACGACGGCCACGAATCAGACACCGCAGAGACAGAGTCGACGACGATGAATGACGGAAAATCCGGGCTGACGGATGGCGACTGGATACCGGGTCAAGACGTTCACGTAGATCATGCGAAGATCCTTGATATCCTGGTAACATTCCTAAGCGATTCTTCTGGTAAGTCCTGCTTTGACGGTTGATTTGTATTGTCATTAACATTACATAGAAGAGGAGATACAGCTCACCTCTTTGCGCTGGATTGACAGCTTCTTCGAAATCTGTCCCGAAGACATATTGCTCTTTGTGCCCCGCCTGCTGTCGCACGTGCTTCCGGCAATGGCAAACGAGGTCGAACAGGTTCGAATGATGGCCAATCGGGTCAACACATCTCTGATGGAGTACATCGTGTCTCTTCCCAATGAACCAAAGAACGAAGCCGTAAAAGTGACACAGCTGCAGCTTGCGTCTGGAGCTGCTAAAGATCCCGCCCCCGCGGAACGTCGGGATTCCAACTTTTCAAAAATAGCGAGGACTTCCACTCGGGATACAGTCGCAGAGAGTAAACCAGCCGAGAGCAAAGTGCGCACCGAAACGGTGACACCGCCTCCCCCTGAAGACGTCACTGCTGCCCGTCCGGGCCCTGACCTTGACTATGAGGCAGCTGTCAATGCACTTACTCTTCAATTCCTCAATGAGCATGAGGCTACTAGGGTGGCAGCTCTCTCATGGTTGATTATGCTTCACAAGAAGGCGCCTAGAAAAGTGAGTCACCTCATCAAATCTCTGGTCAGGGTCGTTTACTGATGTCTTTGCAGATTTTAGCAATCAACGATGCAACGTTCCCGGCTCTTCTCAAAACACTTTCAGATCCTGCCGAATCTGTAGTCACTAGAGATTTGCTACTGCTATCCCAGATCTCGAAGAATAGCGATGATTCATATTTCACTTCTTTTATGGTCAGCCTTCTCAGTCTTTTTGCGACAGACAGGCGCCTGCTTGAGACACGCGGAAACCTTATTATTCGACAACTATGCCTGTCGTTGAGTGCCGAACGGATCTACAGGACGCTGGCCGACTGCTTAGAGAAAGACGAAGACATGGAGTTTGCCAGCATCATGGTTCAGAACCTCAACAACAACCTCATCACTGCCCCTGAGCTCGCAGACCTGCGAAAGCGCCTGAGAAACCTTGAAACCCGCGATGGACAGACATTTTTCGTGGCACTGTTCAGATCGTGGTGTCACAACGCTGTTGCGACATTCTCGCTCTGCTTACTAGCACAGGCCTACGAGCAAGCATACCACCTACTCCAGATTTTTGGCGACCTCGAGATGACGGTCAACATGCTGATCCAAATCGACAAGCTTGTTCAGCTCCTCGAGTCGCCAGTCTTTACGTATCTCCGTCTGCAGCTCCTGGAGCCGGAGAAATACCCTCATTTGTACAAATGCCTGTACGGGCTGCTCATGCTACTCCCGCAATCCTCAGCCTTCGCGGCGCTCAAAAACCGCCTCAACAGCGTGAGCGCCATCGGCTACCTGCACATCGCACCGCGCACGTAAGCAATCCCCCTCTCCCCTCCCCATCTATATACAAACTAACCGACCTCCCCTCTAGCGCGCCCACCCCAACCGTAGCATCCAGCTTCGAGCGCCCCAACCGGCTCAAATCCCGCGACGAAGGCACCATCAAATGGGTCGAGCTACTCGACAAATTCAAGCAAGTACAAGAGCGCGCGCGCCGCGCCCAGCGCAATGCCCTCCTCGGCATCGACGGCTCGGCGGACGCAGCCAACGACGTCGCTGCCGCTGCTGCTGCGGTCCCGGATAAGGAGCGCCGCGCTGCGTCGGGCCGCCAGACAGGCAGTGGCGGGGGTTTGCAGCAGCAACGTCCGAACTCGGCATCGAGCTTGACGAGGCCGGCTGGGAGCCCGGGGGCGATGGTCGGAGGACAGGGCCACCAGAAGAGCAAGAGTAGTTTGAGTCAGTTGGGAAGGTTTGCGGGGGGCGTGAGGGCAGGGAAGGGGAAGAAGTAGGGGGCAGGCTAGAAAAGACTGGCTGGTGAAGGGGCGTTGGTGTGGGCATGCGTGCATGTTTGAGCCTGCTTTTTCTTTTTCTTCTTTGGCTTCTGCGGCGTAAGAAGGCAGGGCAAGACAAGGCGGGGGGCGAAGGTAAGTAGGAAGTCTGGCGTCTGACCTCCCCAAGACGCGAGAGGGAGAATCCTCTCCCAGTTTCTCTTTCTCTTCCTCTTCCTCTTTTCATGGCCCTCCCTCCTTTCTTCCGCCCCCTTTGCCCCTGTCCAGTTACATCACACCACCCTTACTTTCCCATGCGCATGTTTAAACAGTTACACATGATTATCCTTTGCAATCACAGCACAGAGCAAGCAGAACATAGCAGAGTAGAGCACAGCGGAGCGGAGCACGGCAGAAGAGCAATGGGGTTGTCAGTTAGTCAAGTCAGCAGCAAGCACAACACGTCTTCCACGATCAAAACGACAGCATACGAATGAACATCCATCATCTTAAGGTATCCCATATATCATCTGACCTCATCTGGCAAGCGTCGATCGCGTCGCTCGACGCTGTCTCTATCTGTTTTATCTGTCTGTTGTTGTTGTGTCGCTGTCGCCATTACGGAAATAGTGCGTGGCCTCCTGGCCTGCCGCCCATTCGGTGATTGTGACAATCAAATCCGCAGCCCTCCTTCCATGTATCTCGAGGACGAAAAAGAGCAAAGGTAGAAAGAAATATAACGCCGCCCAATGCTAGAACCCTGCCTGCGTACATGGCTGGCTGGGAAGAAAGAGAGCGAAGCAGGGAAAACATAGAAAGGAAGGAAGAAGAAAGAAAAACAACGCCGTCAACACCGCGCTAAAGGCGGAGGAGACCTTTAGGAGGATGGAGAAAGCGGCCGTGGCCGTAGCTGTCCCTGTCCCTGTCTCCTCCGCTCTCGCAGTACATGTCTCTGCCGCCCTTACAGCTTCACAGCCACACTCTCATCAGCCACCCCTACTCACCTACTCACTCACTCCCTACTGCTGCTACACCGCCACCCCCAACCCTAACCGCATATTCTCGACCGACTTGAACCCAACCCCCTTCAACCCCCCAAGCTGCTCCAAGTCCGTAATCAGCCGCTCCTCGCTCTGGTCCGCCCCCACCGCGCCATCCATCTCGCAGAGACAGTTCACAATGGCCTCTGCCTTCTTGGCGCCCACGCCCTTCAGCAGCTTGATCTGCGCCAGGTCGCGCGTGTTGATGATGTGCAGCAGGCGCTGCGTGCGGGGCGTCATGGGCGGGGCGTCGGAGGCGGGCGGGGCGAGCGAGACGGAGGTCGAGTGCGTGCGGGAGGCGGCGGGGACGGGGACCGCGGCAGCTACGGCGCTGCTGGCGCTGGAATTACGGCTCGTGGTGATGGTCGGGGTCGCGGACGCGCTGGTGTCGCGGAACACGTGCATCTTGGCCTTCTTGCGCCGCTTGGGCGCCGCTTTCGGCTTGTACACGAACGAGTCGTCCTCCTGGTACGCGTCGGCGTCGTCCTTGTAGTCTGCGTCGGCGGCGTCGTTGTTGTCGTCGGAGCGGTTGCCGGCCAGCTCGTCCTCCTCCTCGATGCGGTCGTCGTCGTGGTCTGCCATCTCGACGTCTTCGGCCGGGGCGGCTACTGCTGCTGCTTTGCGCGAGAAGACGCGCTCGGTTGGCGCGGCGGACACGGGCGCGGAGATGGGCCGTCTCAATGGCTGCTTCGCTAGTGCGGTCGTGTGCGTGCGTGCGGCGATGGGCTCGATCATCGACCTCGTCTTGACTTCCACAGGGAGAGGCGCGTTTTCCTGGTCCTCCACCCTGCTTCTGGCCTCCTTCTTTTGCCGGATCTTCTCCTGCAGGTCAAGGATCTTCTGACTCAGCTTTTCGTTTTCGGGGAAGTGCGGCAGCGCCAACTGATACATCTTCAGGGCGCTGATGTCCTCCCCGCGAACGTGGTGCTGCTTGGCCATGAGCAGGAAGTGCAGCCCTTCGGCGCGGCCATCTTCCTCTTTTCCAACACGGCGCTCCAGATCGTCGAGACGCTTTTGTACGGCTTCGCTGATGTCCTGGGTTTGGATGGTCGACGTCTCATTCAATGCGCGCTCAGCCAGCTTCTCGTCCAAGCGGCGTTCGATGAGCTCTTCAATGGCCTCTTTGGAAAGCGCAGCAGGTGCAGCAGCGGGTGCGGCAGCAGGCTGGCGGCCATAGCCAGGGCTTTGGACTGCACGAATGGACTTCGCAGGTCTAGTGGAAGAAGTAACCTCGACGGGTCCTCGCTTAAGTGTCTCGGTGCGGCGCGTTGTAGTTGGCTTGGGCGCCGGCTTGCTCTTGTCTGTGTAAACAGAGAATGCCTTCACAGGCTTATCCGTCTTCTTTGGGGGTTCGGCAACCTTGGCATTAGCGGCTGCGGCCAAAGCTCGCAAAGGCTGGCGCGCCATGGTCGGGCCTCCGACGCTGCTAGTCGTCTTCGGCGGTGCCATCTTCAAGACAGGCTCGTTTTCCACCTCGGCGACTTCGATCTTCTTCGTTCGATTCGCAAAATTCAGAGAGCTAAGGGTATCTAGATGATAAGAACGAACAGGTGCCAAATTTAGAATCATTAGGGTTAGTCCGTTGTTCTGACCCAGGGCCAGAATTCGAGTCATCTTGGACTCGCGGTACGGAATTCGGTGTTGCTTTTTGCTAATAGCTTCAACGCATTGTGCTAGGACGAACAATGATTTGTTGATAGCCGCGGATTCAACGAGCCGCTCCCGGTTGTTATCCGTTCTTCTGTTGTCCTCGGAACCTGCCAGGTCAATGGCCGAGGCCCTCGAGACACGGGTGTGGGTAGCCGTAGTCTGTGTTACCGTAACACATAGTATTGCGTGAGAACGAGATGAATGTGCGTTCAGCTACAATCCTGTCAGCGCATGACATTGGACAAGAAACCGGGAGAAACCAAAGACCAACCTTCGTGGCAGACGTAGAACGATTGACGTTGGCCTCATCATACAGCTGCTCAAACTCCTTCAGCGTCGTGCATGGCCTCTCAGTCAATCCCACCACAACCGTCTTTCCGTTGTTGTCGCGGATCGGCAGACCGGCTGGCGTCCGCTTCTCGGGTGGCTCAAAAAGGTCGTAAACGCGGTCGTTGTAGATTTCGTAGTAGCTCATAGACACCGAGACTTGTGTCTCTCCATCCTTTTCCATCTTCCTGCACCGGCGATATATGCTGCTGAGCAACCGCGGGATGACACCTCTGTCCGCCAGCGACTTGCCGCCGCGCATCGTGTGGGTCTTTCCGGTTCCCGTAACACCATACGCGAAAATGGTAACATCGAAGCCATTGAACAGATGCTTGACCGTGGGCGCGACTAGCGGCGTGGTTAGTTTTGTGGGGTAGAGCGAGGCGCGTCATTGCCTTACCCTCTTTGTCGAAGAGCTCGTGCTGGGTGGTCTCGCGGTCATAGACGCTGTTGAACTGGAAGCTGAAGGACTCGGCATCGTTCTTGGGATTCGGAATGCGGACAATCGAGGGCGCGACATTCTCGTCGGCACCGGTCTTCTCGGCCGTGACAATCGTGTCCTTGTCCAGCTCTGCCTTGAGCAAGGGACGTATGCGGGCAAGCACGCGGACGCTCATGATGCAGACGAGGGATCCCAGATGAAAAAAAAAAAGACTCAAAGCATAAAAAACACAAACAACAATACCTACCCGGGAGAGCAGCTCTCGATTGACGTATGTCGAGGTGCTTGAAACACCCTGGCAGCTCCTGGGAGAGGGCGAGTGGAGTGGGCGCAAAGTGTTGGCCGCGTCTTGCACAGGGCAACTATCGATAAGGGGGGGCTGGGTGCCACGTGACTGTTCGGGAATTCCCCCTCACACCTGTCGCCAACACCCGACCGGACACCAGCCTCATCATCACCACTCACCAGCCTCATCGTTGCTGCGCCTGCTGATCTCCGTAGTCTCGATGTGATGTTGCGGGATGTGCGCGTCCTTCCCGAGAGACCTTGGTCTGGATGTCGCATTTCACCGCCCTCGACTGGACCACGAGCCTCGTGCGATTCCACCTGCGCCTCCCCGCGACGTCCTTCTGGAAGCCTGATGATCCAGTGTTGAGCTCCTCCAGGTGTTTCGGCGCTACTGGAGAGACGTTCCGCGGAGCAGCCAATAAGAGGCGCCGAAAGCCGGCCCCTTCGTCGGTCTTGCAGGCGAGCCGCGAGACAGCGCAACACCAAGTTTCATCTGTGCATGCCGCTCCACCGCGTCTGGCCAAGGCGACTCGCCCGCCAGAAAAGCCTGGCCAATCCTTTGCCGGCTGCTATTTTGGTGTAAAACAGCGGCTAGTTGGAGCATCAAAACCACGAGCTCCCCCATAAGAAAAATCCACTAACCACTCCACGTAGATCGCTTGTCACCCGACAAGTTCTTTCGTTCACTTTTCTTTCTGCATCTCTTTTCCTTTTCTCTGTTGCTGATCTCTTATTCACTTCGTTCCATCGCGTCAATCGTAGCGTTCCATTCTTTTCTTTCGTGGCTGGATACCCATCGCGTCCGTGACGCGTCGCTCCTCATAATCTTTCCTTGTCCTGGGCCGGTTTCCCAGGCGTTTCCTTTTTTACAATCTCATCTTTCGCAAGCATGGCTCACTCGGTGCTCGTAATGTTTTTGGCAGCCTACTCGGCCACCGCCTTTGCGAGTCCTGTGCCTCGCCATGGCCCTCTACGGTAGGTCTCACAGCTCCTGTCCTACAGAGCCGCGCTAATCAGGCACAGATTTGCTCGCCAGTCCAACGACTCAGCGCCGCTCATCCCGGACTTCACAGAGAACTCAATAGAGCTAAGCTCCATCTCGATAACTGCCACTCCTGTTGAGGTCCAAGCAGCAGACACTGGCTTGCCTTTCGTTATCCCGGTCACTCTGTCAGTGACCACGAGCACCGCGTCGGCAATGACGTTCCAGGACCCCTCCGGTTCTGTGATCGCGACTGTGCCAGCTTCGACAGTAGAGCAGACAACGTATCTCGATACGTCGTCCAGTGCCGTTGCATCTTCCACTGAAGCTGCTACTTCTACTGCTGTGACCTCAAGCATTGCATCCAGCCCCGTCACCTCCACTCCCGTGGCGACGCCTACCACTCCGACCACGCCGACCACGCCCGTGCAGGTCTCAACCCCATCGTCGGTCTACACTCCCCAGTTCACCTACAACCCGAGCACGGCAACGCCCATCGCGACGCCTTCTTCAACTTACGTCCCGCCTTTCACTTACGACCCGGCCAAGAGCACCGAGGCCTCGTCCACGTACACTCCTCCTGCGTCATCAAACTCGACAACGGTCCAGGTGCCCTCGACGTCGGCTGTCAACACTCCCACCACGCCTCTGCTTGTTTCTACCCCGGTCCAGACGCCTCCTAGCACCCCGACCGTGGTGATCAGCACGCCAACTGCATTGACCAGCACCCAGGCCGTGCTGACTAGCAGCAAGTCCTCTACGCTGATCAGCAGCTCTTCTGCGCGTATCAGCAGCTCTACCGTAATGACGCCCAGCACCTCAGCCTTGGTCAGCACCCCCCTTACGCCCATTTTGTCAACTCCAAGTGCGACGTCTGTCGCCGGCGGCTGCCCTGCCAGCGTGCTCTGCCTGACAACAACTCTCTACACCGGGGCTGCCACCGCAAAGGCCCAGACCAGCATCGCGTCCAGCAGTGCGACCACCGCCGTCCCATCCAGTTCGCAACAGGCTGCCCAAGGCGGCGTGGCTATTGTGACGCAATACACGACCGTGACGCCCTCCAAAGAAGCTTCGAGCACGGCTGCTGCTGTCTCTTCGACTGCCGCTGTCTCTTCAGTTGTTGCTGCCTCGTCGGCTGCTGCTGCTATCGTCTCTACAGCCGTACAGTCCTCTGCTCACACTTCGTCCGCGACTGCGCAGTTGACCAGCCAGGCCAAGGCCGCTCCGGCAATTGTGACGCAGTACACGACTGTGTACCCCAGCGCGGCAACAAGCATGCCTGCCGTCGTCTCTTCGGCGGTTGTCTCTTCGGCAGCCCAGTCGTCCGCTCACACCTCTTCCGCGGCCGCACAGTCTACCACCCAGTTGGCCGCTGACCCAGGTGTGGTGACGCGCTACACGACCGTGAAAGCTAGCGCCGCCCCAGCTGTCGTCACACAGTACACGACCGTGTACCCCAGCGTTGCGGCATCGACGACCGGGGCTGTGGCTACACCGAGCACGCTCTTGACGATGACCAGGCCTGCTGCTGCATCGTCCCCGTCCGCGGCTGCGCCGTCTCCGGCTACTACCAATGCTCCGGGCATCACGGTCATCCCCGTTGATCCGAATGTCTCGACTGTCACTGTCACTGAGGCTACGGCTACGGTTACGGAGACCACGACCGCGAAGGAGACGGTTACTGTCTCGGCATAGTAGCGCGGTAGTGAGTATACATGTGGGCAAGACGGGCCGGGCCCGTTTTGCTAGTAAAGAAAGGAGAAGGAACGATGTTCACGATGTATACACGAATGACCCGAAGAGAAGGGGTATAGACTGAAAAAGAAACGGCCCGAAATATTGCATACACGGATACGCATAGCGATGATTTTACGAACTTGCTTGTTGGAGGAGATATGTAATGGGTGTTGGATGCGGCGGCTACTGATGCTGTGGCTGTTTGGGGATCGAGTAAGGGAAGGGCGGCTATTTTGTGGTTCGCAATGTGTTTTATACCTTGGGGGCTATTGGTTTGATCTTCTTGGGGTTGCAATTTTGCTGGTCGGTGGCGCTGTGCGCTTAATATGGGGTGGATTCGACCAGGTACTTAATTAATTCAGCTTGTCTATATTGTACTTTTGTGTGTGCTTCTTGGGGGTTGTGAGGGAGTTGTGGGTTATGTGGCGGGACCGTGTCCTTCATTACTTTGGAAATTGCTGCGTCTATGCAGCGTCTAACGAAACGGATGCGAGAGGGTGGTGTGGGCTGGTTTGGCGTGCTCTGAACAGGTAAGTGTGTGAACAGGGATCGGCTCTATTCTGAGAATTTGGGTTGATGGTGTGTAGGCGCGTTGTTTGTGTGGTTTTGCGAGGTGAGTACGGCGGAAGAGCTGTCTCCGTCTTACTCTGGACTGGTGTAACGAGATAGGTGGACGTCCTCTATTGGGCTGCGATTTCTTATTTTGAACAGGCAGGGATTGTCCCCGCACGATGCAGGTAAGCACTGCCTGGTACCCTCCTCTTTAGATTTCTACTTCTTCTGTTCTCGTTTCGCCTTGTTTCTAAATTACCTTCTCACTGCTTCATCTGCTCTCTGTCCCGTCTATTCTCTGTTTCTTTTCTCTCTGTCCCGTCTCATCTTTACATCAAGATGCCATCAATACTTCACAAAACCTCTCGCAAGAATCGTCCATCCGCGCGGACCATAGAATACCGTCCGCTCCGCGCAGAAGCGAAAGAAATTCGCATCTTGGTGCTTCTTCCACATGAAGACCCCGAAGCATCGATTCACTGCGAACTCGAACACTGCAGTCTGGACGACAATCCTGTCTACGAAGCGCTGTCGTATGTCTGGGGGGACCCAGAGCCACCTTTTCTTATCATATGTGATGGTCAGGTCGTCGCCATCCGATACAATTTGTTCACAGCTTTACGCAAGTTTCGCAGACCTGCAGAAAGAAGACGCCTCTGGGCAGATGTGCTGTGCATCGATCAATCAAACATCCCCGAACGGAATGCGCAAGTCGCAATAATGGGCTCGATCTATCGACAAGCTCATTCAACTTTGATATGGATTGGAGAGGGTAAAGGGAATGCTGAGGAGAGCTTGGACAGACTCCGGTACCTTGCCGCTCAATACATGGCAAGGAACACCAATCACAGGAGCCAATGGCCGCAAAGGCTAAAAATGGATACCATAGGTTATTGATGCGCATTGTTCTCCAGGAAAAATATTGGTCCCGTGTCTGGATAATTCAGGAAATAATCCTTTCTTGTAGACCCATCATTTTCTACGGAGCTGCCAGCATCGACTGGGCGACCTTTTCGAAAGGTGTTCTCCATTTTTTCACCACCCATCCCCTATTGCGTCAACGTTTTAACATTCCTCAAATTATTGAATGGTCTCAAGAAACAACATCCTTGGTTAGATCCAACGACCTTCTCAACGCTCTGGTTTTGACACGTCCCTGTGATGCAACGGATGACAGAGACAAAGTTTTTTGGAATACTCGCCCTTGTGGATACGGATTTTTTTCCGGACTACAACATTTCCACGAAGGAAGTTTATCTAAAAACTGCCACTCACTTAATCAACGCTCGTCTAGACCTAGACATACTATCAATCTGCGTGGGAGAACACACACATTTCTCTATGAATGACAATACTGCACTACCATCCTGGTGTCCAGATTGGAAAGACACACTTTTAATATCTCTATTTGTGGGAATTTCGAATGCTCCAAACTTCCAAGCATCCCGCTCGAGAGACAGAATAGCTCGTTTTGAGAATATGGGAAGGACACTCATCCTTCAAGTCATTGATTTCGATACGGCCGAAATGATATGTCCGGAAAATGGACTTGTAAAGATAAAAGACCGGGATTACAAGTGCCAAAGTGAATGGATTTTCTGGTGTTTACGGACTCAGGGAACATGGCTCAGCAACAAACTGATCAAATCCTCACTCGGTTTAAAAACAGCTGGCCTCCGAAATAAGTACAAAATGCCGAGCATGTCAACAGTAATCTATGGCGGACCAGAAGCACAACTGGATGCCTTCTTGGAGTTAATGTTTATGGGCCACAAAGAAGCTAGTATGACAAGGGTGAGCTACGTAGTGTTATCTGGATTGAGGCTTCCGCCTAAGCTTTTAACCAGGATTCGGGAGCTGGAGACCCCACGAGCGATTAATTCTAATGTAATTCAAGCCGAGGTGGCTGAGCTGGTATCTCGGCACGGGTACCGAGAGAGTGATTATTTTCCGCATTTCTTCATCACCAAAACAGGCTACATGGGCGTTGGTCCGAAGCACATGCGCGAAGGCGACATCGTGGCCATCCTGTTAGGTGGGAGAGTTCCTTACCTCTTGCGTCCCCGGGGAGGACGATTTGTGTTGATCGGAGAATGCATGGTCGCGGGCGTCATGAGCGGAGAAGTCATAGACGAATTTGATGCAGGCAAGCGGACATTGCGGGAGTTTGCTTTGGATTGAAATAGGATGCGACGATATGGTCTATATGGAATAGATGCCGTGAGAAGAACAAAGACGGCAAAGTCAAGTCGGTTACGGAGTACTGCTAAGGCATCAATTCAAGTCAACAAGATATTTGAAACCAAAAGCCTGGTCACGAGTATCATATGCACCAAGCCCCTCCAAATCATGGTGACTGCAACATATGAGAAAGCGGAAAAAAACAATTGAACGGCCCACTACCAATCGATAGAGGTCAAACATGAAAAGCACGTTTTAGGCAAACACCGCTCTGATATTTACTCTTTATAGGCAGTTCTCCGCCAAGAAGTGGAGTGTCGCGTGCAAGCCTGACCGGGATTAGGACGCACATGCACGGAGATACTCCCCTATGCGGCAGTGATATGCCAGTTGTGGGGAGCAGTTCGTCGTCTCAGGCTATCCGATCTGGCAATGCGGGACCTGGGGGCCAAACCGCAGAACAACTGCTCTGTTGACGCAAGAATAAAAAGACAGCATCCTCGCAGATAATTTGAGGACAGTCGGCAAGGTCTAAACCACAAGCCAATATAAATCTCAACGTCTCCATCTTCTCTTCCGCCATCCCAAACACACACCACAATCATGGGATCCGCCGCCTCGTCGCCAGAAACCCTCGCCCACCTCCAAGAGCACGGCTGGGCGCGCATCCCCTCGGTCCTCAGCAAAGAAGAAGCCGCATCCACACTCAGCAAGCTCTGGGCCGCGCGCGACAAAGCGGCCGCCTCCGGCGAGCCCTCGCACTACACGTGGCTGGACCCGAACGCCAACAACGTCCGGGTGTTCAACCTGCTCCAACTCGACCCCATCTTCCGCACGCTGATCGGGCACCCCACCGCCGTGGGCGCCGTACAAGCCGTCCTAGGAAAAGACTTCAGCATCTCGAACTTCACGGCCAACATCGCGCGCCCGGGCTCGGGGTCCATGTGCTTCCACTCGGACCAGAGCGTCGTCTTCCCCGAGCCGTGGGACCGCGTCTGGGCCCTCAACATCATCTGGTGCTTGACGGACGTGTATGCCGACAACGGCGCTACCCGCTTCGTACCCGGCTCAAATCGGTGGACGCGCCGCGAGCACATCCCTGGCAATGCGCCGGAGCTGTTGCTCCCGTTCGAGGCGAGCGCGGGCGATGTCCTTGTTATGGATGGCACGGTTTGGCATACTAGTGGCAGGAATGTCACTAAGGACCAGGATCGCGCCCTGCTGTTTGGCTACTATACGAAGTCGTTTATTAGGCAGCAAATTAACTGGACGGCGACGCTGTCGAAGGACGTTCAGGACGAGGTGAGCCCGGAGATGAGGGAGTGGCTGGGCTTGAATCCGGTCTCGAATATTGGTGCGGTGGGCGATCTGAGGTTCATGTCTGAGCAGTTCCCTGAATATGCGGAGAAAGACGCGGCTGGGTCATAAGAACGCCGTTAGTATAATATCAACTGTCAAATTGAAGACACAAACTCACCACATAAAGATAATTTGCTCAACTTTACGACTCGCAACGGATGAAAACTTTACCTTTCATTGGTATTAGGGAAGAAAACAAACGACAGTCCATTCCTCTTTCACCCACACTCTTTAAGAATACACCGTTGCCATGGCCCACCCAGGAACTCTCTTCACCACTAGCCAATCTACCCCATAACGCCAATTCTACTAATCTCCTTTGGCCGTCGGTAAGTATATCCCACAAAAGCACCTTTCTTCCTCGCCTCAAGCACCGTCTTCGCAACAGCCGGATCCCTCAATAGCTTATCACGTGGCCTCTTCTTCTCTTTTTTGGCTCCACGCGTTGCTTCCTGTATAAGCCTCACCTCGCTACCTCCATTATTATCACCACCGCCGTCAAATAGCGGCTCAGCTATGTCGGCGTGATTGATGTTCGAATGCAGAGTCGAAGACGAGCTTGTACGGCTGAGCCTGTCTGTCTCTCCCAATATTTCCTTTTCGTCGTCAAAGTACCTGTCTAAATCCTTGGGTCTTTTGATGTGGGGCACAAACGGAGGTGTCTGCATGTGGATGTGCTGCCAATCGATATCACGGAAGAATATGTGCCGTTTAATGTCTTCAGCATCATTGGGGAAGACGAAGTATTGGTTTCGGCATTCTCCATTCCGCCTGATTATACCGGGATGCCCTAGGCCCTGTGCCGAAGAGAAGTGGGATTTTGGCGAGCTGCGAGAACCAAAAGCGCGAGGAAAGTACGGGTGATGAGAGTCTCCATGTGGTGAATCGTTGTTGCGATAGCGCGGAGAAGAAAGGCGCCATTCTTTGTCAGCAATGAGATGGTGCATAAGATCGATGGCAATTCGAGAAACGGGCGAGAGCTCACGACGGCCGTTCATGGGGCCGCCAAAACGCCGATCACCAGGAAACTGGAGGTTGGTGTGGTGATTCTAGTACATGTCAGCAGTTTATGGTAAGCGAAGAAAGGAGGTATAGAAATTACGAGAATCTTTGCCTTAGTGTTGGCGCGATCCTCACAGAAGAAAGGCGTGCAGCCGTAGAGGCACTGCCAAGTTCTATTAGCATGTTGCTTCAAATGTTTGGAGGAGCCAAAGTTACTTCGTATAGGATGATACCAATGCTCCACCAGTCGCAACGACCGTCATATGCCTCACCTCTGATGACCTCTGGCGCCATATATTGACTGGTGCCAACCACACTCCTGGCAAATTTTCGTTTTTGTGTACGGTCAAGCCATGCTACTGGATCTCTTTCCTTTTCCTGATTATCGAGTGGATGTTTTAAAGGCCTCTTGAATGGGTTATGTCGACCGGAGTCCGAAGAGCTCATAGCGTTACTCAGTCTGTGTGCGTTCGCTGCTTTTAGTTCTTCGTCTTCGTCTTGTTTATCCCCTCTGACATTGATACCAAACTTCTGAAGCAGAGTCCATCGCTTGTCATTGAAGTAAGTCTGGTTGTGAGCCCAGTGACCGTCAAAAGCAAGGCCAAAATCAGATATTTTGAGATGACCCGAAGCGGTGATGAGAAAGTTGTCTGGCTTGACATCACGATGGATCCACTTCATCTTGTGTGCTTCTTCAACACACAGAATCATCTCCGCGATGTACCATCTGGCGCTTTCTTCGTCCAGGATATCCTCTCGGAGGAGAAGTGTGAGAAAGTCGCCACCTACCATGTAATCCATTACGAGGTAGAGGTGGCTATTGTCTTGAAAGCTAGCGACAAGTGGTACAACCCACTGAGAGGACTCTGAAGCAACCAGGAAATCCCTCTCAGCACGCAGGTGACCCTCTTGACAATTGCGAAGCATGTCGGACTTGCGGATAACCTTCATTGCATACACCTGATTTACCAGGTCAAGAGCGTTTTGACAGGGATCTGCCCCTCCGATCCCGTCAAGGTGTTCTGGATTAGAACTGTTAGGTTCCGTTTGGAATGATGGTGGTCCAGGTTTACCCTTCTCTTTTACAAGTCGTACCACTCCAAAACTACCTTTGCCGAGTACTCTCACGACCTCATACCCAGCTATTGAAGTCCCTCGGGCTTTCCGTCTGGCCAAGGATTTGGTTTTCCAGATCCGAAGATGGCGTAAATGTTCGGTCTCGGCAAGATACCATTGCTCACGAGCTTCGCGTCGTTCCTCATCGGTACAAGCTAGCCGGACCAATCTTTCTTCAAGGGCTTGACGTCGGCGCTGGCGAGGCGTCAGGCGGGGTGAGGTGAGCTCGTAAAAATGAGTTTCAAAAAACACTTTAGCAGCTGCCGTGGACTCGATTGTGGAAATAGAAGGGGTTATAGGCTTTGGATGTTGGATCAGTAGAGGGCGAACTGAAAAGCTGTCTTCCTCTGGTGATAAGGTAGTGTCGCTGCTGCCTTCAACTACACTAAGAGTCCTGGCACTCAATGTGACTTCAGTGGAAGTTCTGCTCGGTGCTGCAGAGTTTGTACAAGATTTCTTCGTAACAGCGGACCTGCTGCTGGAATCGACGGAAGCTCCTCCGGCAGGCGATGTTGGGGCTGTGGAAGCCGACGCTGGTGGGGAAAAGCCGTTGGATTTCTCGGGCGAGGAGTCGGGAGTCGACTTGCTGGATCTAAATTCTCCAAACTTGCTAAAGAGGATGCTGGGACGAGCTAAAAGACGTCGATGGATAGCAGTCCGTTTCTTGGTGCCCAGAGTGAAAGTCATGCTGAGATAGAGATGAAGCTTGGTGGAGAAGACACCGCTTGTCGCGATGCACAGAGGAGAGATGGTAGAAGCATTGCTGTGCGAGAAAAGATGAGGTTCCCAAGACAGTTGCTCTTTCCATGTCGGAAGATTGTGTTGCGCTTACTTTCCTCGGAAGTCAGACGAGGACGTGTTGTTCCCCAAAGCTACTTTGACTTTGAAAACGCAAGTGTCTTTTGTGGACCCGACCTCTCCGTTTGAGTGTAGACGGAATGGTATGATCTTCCAATAGCCGCATGACGTTTTAGCGCTGTGAGCTGTGGTGAGCCGCATGTGATATTCCCGATTCGGGCTGGCACATGAGGCGGGCAGCATTCCCTCACGACTCACTTCCCTCTGCCCGCGCCCCGCGCATCCCAACAGACTGCTCTCGCGTCCTCGATGCCGTAAATCTCCTGCATCTCCTCGTTCATCTCGCCCTTTTTCAAGCAGGTAGCCTCCAGAAAGCGTACCCTGCTGTCTCACAGGGTCTTATCGATCGGCACCACAGCTCCCCGCACTCCCGCTTCCGCGTCCGCGCCGAGCGAGCACGTCACACCTACTCGTCTCAGAGCTCCAACGCCCGGAAACGGCGGCACCTGGCGCCATATAGATCCCGTCATCTTTTCCTCAACATATCGCGCTGTCAGACTGCAAGTCAGTCGCGCTCGATGTTATAAAGGCGCCTCCGTCCGTAGGTAGCCTTGCCAGCCAGAGCTGTTCTGTCGATCATCATACCTCCCGTCCGGGGCCATCCGCTCCCCGCATGCCATCCCCATAACGACACCTCCACAACCCACCAGCAGAAAGCTCTCAACCACGACGATGCTGTCCCCATCCTCGCCGTTCCCACACTTCCTCATCCCCAGCATCCCCTTCCGCCGTCGACGCAGCAGCGCCGCCACAACCTCCACCATCGCCAGCGACGGCTCGGGCAGCAGTCCCAGCAGCCCGAGTAACAACCCCACATACCTCTCAGGCTCAACCTCGCACCTACAATGCACGCGCTGCCTAGCCGACCTCTGCTTGGCCTCCCAAATCATCAGCAAGGGCTTCACGGGGCGTCACGGGCGAGCCTACCTCGTCGCGCCCGCCCCCAGCAGCAGCGCCACAGCCCGCACGGCCGACCTGCCCAACACGCACACGCACAAGGCTGTCCCGCGCCAGCTGGTCACAGGCGCGCACACTGTCAGCGACATCAGCTGCGCGCTGTGCGGCGCTGTGCTCGGCTGGAAATACGTCGCAGCTGAAGAGGAGAGCCAGAAGTACAAGGTCGGCAAGTACATCCTTGAGACGAAGCGCGTGTCGCGCGGCGTGTGCTGGGAGAATGAGGAAGAGAATGAGGGCGAGGGTGCCTTGCACGGGGCTGAGCGCGCGCTGTGCGCTGGCGGGAACGCGGGTTCCCGTGCGGATGATGACCATATTGAGTTTGATAGCCAGGACGAGGATGAGTGCGAAGACTTGTTCGCTGGTGTGTGGAGCCCGGCATTGGCGAGGAAGAGGAGGAAGGGCCGCGCATGGAGAGAGAACAGAGGTGCGACCGAGGAGATATGAGTGAGTGTGCACTCATGAGTGCGGTTTGGGGATGCCCAACAAGGTCCAGCGCAGAACGCTGGACGATTTGAGACAACTGCGGAACCACTGGACGTCGATCGCCCACCCAAGACTGGAAGATTTACGACTTCTTTGATTTTTTGGCTTTGGCAGGGCCATAGTTGGCGTTCTGGCGTTAATTCAATGTAGGGAGTGCTGCTGGCAAGTCAACAATGGCGGAGAACACTAACGACGATTGAAAATACGACAATGATACCCCTATCTCCATCCCCCAGCCGGACTGCGTTTTCTCTTGCTCATTATTTTCTTATAACCTTGCTTCGAGGCATGTATTTCTAATTAATGATTAGTAGTATGCAACATTAATTCGTTTCTCACCATGTGTCATCTTGCCTTGTGTGCGGCAGCGGTAGTGTGTGTAGGGTAGCATGCATCCTATATCTGATAACACGCAAGTATATCCAGCCAGACTCGCTATACAACGACCCAGCTACATCAGAGGAAAAGAGAAAAGAAAAAATACCCATGCGCCAACTTTTTATTCCATACAGGTTGTTTTCGGTCATTGCGGCTGCAACACGGAGCTGGAAAGCCGGAGACCTGGACTCAGAAACGAGAAACAAAGAACTATTATGAAAAGAGGCAGGGAAGAGAGCGCCCGAGGGATCCTTCCTCCCTGCAATATGCCTGCATCTATACCATAGTACGCAGAAATGCAAGTCGGATATCTCAAACGCTAAAACACCACGCAAACATACTTAGACGATGGCTAAAACCAACCGCCACAGGAACAAGGAAACAAAAAGCGGAATCCCTCACAGAGTTGTAAGCTACTGCGAGAGCCTCAAGACCACGCAGGAGTGAGGGTTAGAGCTTAAATCGAGATGCGTTGCGCTGCGTTAACTCGATCCGAGGGCAGGATTGCCAGCTTAGTTCAAGCTGACCATCTTGATGTCGAAGACGAGGGTAGAGTTGGCGGGAATGCCGGGCAGGGACTGCTTGCCGTAGGCAAGGTTGGCCGGGATGGTGATGCGGCGCTCACCACCGACAGTCATGCCGGCAATACCGATGTCCCAGCCCTTGATGACCTCGCCGGAGCCAAGCTTGAAAGAGAAAGGCTTGCCCTTCTTGTTGGCTATTATCGGGTTAAAATCTGTTTCACAATCATGTTGAGGGAGCTACTCACAGTCAAAGACCTTGCCGTTCTCGAGCTTGCCGATGTAGCGCATACCGACACGGTCACCCTTCTTCGCAGCAGGGCCGGAGCCAAGCTTCTTGTCATCAACCTTGACGCCCTGGACGACCTTGAGGCCAAGACCAGTCTTCTGATCCTTGCCCTCAGGCTTCTTCTCAGCCTTCTCATCCTTCTTGGGAAGAGGAGAGCCAGTGGGGCCCTGCTCGAGGTTCTTGGCAAACTGAACCTTCTTCTTGTCGGCGGGGCTCTCCTTGGCGGCCTCAATGGCCTTACCCTCGTTGTTCTTGAGCTTCTTCTGCTGCTTCTTGCTGAGCTTCTCGCCAGCAGCCTCCTTGCTGATCATCTCGTCAAGAGACTCGGCACCGCGCTTGTTCTTGCCCTTGGGAGCCTCAACAAGCTTGGGAGCCTCCTCCTCGCTATCGACCTCAGTGATCCTGGGGTCCTCAAGGCCGTCGAGCTCGTCCTCCTCCTCAGTCTCGTACTCGTCCTCAAGCTCATCCTCATCGGGGGACAGGTCGTAGTCCTCATCATCCTCGTCATCGTCATCATGAGTGTGGTCAGGGACAACGTAGTTACCGGTGAGCGAGATGTCGTAAGCACCAGTAACCTGGAAGAAAACATGCTCGTCCTCGCCGATGGTGATGTCCAGAGGCTGCTGGTAGGTCTAATGGACATTAATTAGCAAGTACTCAAAGTGCACAGACATATGAGAAAACTTACGTTCTTAGGGTCAAGGGTGCAAATGACAAACTCTTCCACCTCCATACCGTCCTCATCATCCGAGTCCTCATCTTCCTCGTCGTCGTCATCCTCCTCCTCAGCAGAAGCTTTGCCCTTGCCCTTGTTCTTCTTGGGGGCATCGTCGACCTCCATGTCGTCGTCCTCGTTGCCCAGAGACTCCATGATCTTCTTGAGAGCAGCCTCGGCACGGCCCTTCTTAGTCTTGGAGGGGTCGCTAGGGCCGCCGTTCTTCTCATCCTCATCCTCATCGGACGACTCCTCGTCAGAGACGGCGTCACCAAGACGGCGGCGGATAGAGTCGTAGTCGTCCTCATCGTCAGACTCGTCCTCGTCCTCGTCAGAGCGGATGGGCTCGCGAATCAGCTTGAGGGTAGCGCGAGCAGGAACGCCCTTCGGGGCTCCGTCCTCCTTGGGCTCAGCGTTGGGGTCGATGGCGGCCATAGTGATGCGGAACTTGATTTCTGTCAGCTATTGCAGACATGAGCGATGTTTTGCAGATTGGTTAAGCTGCCAGGTAAAACAGAGCCTCGCAAGCATGAGGGTAAACTAGAGACTACTCACAGTGGCAGGGAAGTCGGGGATGGCCGCAACAGGCATGCCGCCAGCCGGGACCTCGAGGCCATAAATCGCGACGGGAAGAAGCATGTTGAAGGATGTATTCCGGGGGTTGAAATGCAGAAATTAGTTGAAGGTAAAGCGTAAAAAAGTGTCGCGAAACTTTCTGCTGGGTCTGAGCGGCGGTTGAAGAAAATTTGGAGGAGGGAGGAAGAAAGGCGAAGCAGTACAGGCGCAGGCAGGATGGAAGCTCTGCGATGCACGATAAAAAAGCGCCAAGATTTCCATAATTTTTACGCTACTCCCACTCCGGCATAGCCTGTCGGACTTAGATACTTGGCCCGACGTCGCTTGTCCTGGCCGCTTGACGTTGAACATCTTCTTGAGTACTCGGCTTTGATGCTATCTACGAATCCAAAGCAGGACACGCTCCTATTGCCGGATGCTGTCTCATCTACGTGGGTGAATGTGCTAGTTATCTTGCGCTGCCATAACCTTTTATAGCGCTACAAATCTTCAGTGATTCTTATGCCGTATGCGGCCACGACAAAGTTAGCCTTTCCAGCACCCTGGCCGAGGCATGACGCGCGCCTGTCGCCTTCGCGTCTCCCAACTCCACGCCCCTCTCAGTCCACCATCTCGACAATGGTAGGACGCAACGACTGAATCGCAACGTAGTCACCGTCATGACCGCTATTGACGCGTCATATCATGGGTTCGCGCCTGGAAAACAACTCGAACGCAGTGCGCAAGCGCATAGAGAACCGTAAGGCAATCACTTTCGCATCGCGTGGCGCGTGGCTAACGAAGCCCTCCAGATGCCTTCGACAACGAAGAAGGTGAGGAGTATGAAGGCTCCAAGTTCGGCGGCTTTGGCGACTACTTTTGGCACAAAAGGGTCAAGCTTCAGAACCTGGACGCCGAGATTCGCTCCCAGGCTGGCCATAACCCTCCCATTTTCCGCGGTATTGTCGCTCACGTGAACGGCTACACACAGCCATCTCTGAATGATCTCCACAAGTTGATTGTGTCTTATGGAGGAGGTTTCATGCAATATCTCGACGGCAAAACCGCGGTCACACACATCATTGCTAGCAACCTCACTCCGAAGAAGGCGGTGGAATTCCGCAAGTATCGCATAGTCAAACCGGCATGGGTGGTAGACAGCATAAAATCTGGGAAGCTGTTGCCATGGGATGCTTACCGGGTGGTGGACGAAGGAGCCGGACAGAAACTCCTCGGGTCCGATGGTGGTAAAATCGTCAACCAAACACCAGCCAAGTCGAAAGGCTATCGGGAACAAACGGACGTCAGCTGGTATACCAAACACCTGCAGGGCGGTGAAAATAGTACTCCGAGGAGCTCGCAGCGTCCACCATACCTTATGCAGCAGTCTTCCACGCCAGGTGTGGAAGATGAGATTGATGATTTACCTCCTTCGCATCAGCCGGAAACTTCTTTTACTCGTGACTCGCTATCCGAGCTAGAAAGGCATGAAGCACTAGGAGAACATCTGCCGCTTATCCCTCATTCTGAGAATGGGCAACTGGTGTCACCTGGCATATTGGACTCAGAAGAAATTTCTGATATCGATCGGAATGGTCCCAAAAGACCATATGGCGATCAGACTAGCTCTCCATGTAAACGCAGGAAACTTACCGCAGAAGAGCACAATGCCATCCTTCTTGCTGACCCAAACATTCGGAAATCAACAGTAGTCAATCCAGACTTCCTGGAGCAGTACTACCGAGAGTCTAGGCTTCACCACCTTTCCACGTGGAAAGCAGATCTCAAGACACAGCTCCAAGCAATGGCAGCTGAAAAATCATCATCGCAAAAGGCAAAGCAGAAAGCTGCCCCTGGTGTCAGAAGATATATTCTTCATGTGGACTTTGACAGTTTTTTTGCTGCTGTCTCCCTATTGAAGCGACCGGAGTTCAAGGACAAACCAGCCGTAGTGGCACACGGTAATGGCACGGGTTCTGAGATTGCAAGTTGCAACTATCCCGCCCGAGAACATGGAATCAAGAATGGCATGTGGATGAAACGAGCGCAAGAGTTGTGTCCGGAGTTGAAAATTCTTCCGTACGATTTTCCAGCGTATGAAGACGCTAGTCGATCGTTCTATGATGCCATATTAAGCATTGAAGGTGTCGTGCAGAGCGTTAGCATAGACGAAGCTCTGATCGATGTTTCCGCGCAGTGCATTGCAGCGGGCGGTTCTGACGGCAAGAAAATGAGCGAAGGCAGCATTTACCGCGAACAGAGCGAGGCGGAGAAGATCGCACAACATCTTCGGGACGAAGTTAAGATAAAGACTGATTGCGCCGTGTCAGTCGGCATTGGACCTAACATCTTGTGTGCCAAGCTTGCTTTGCGCAAAGCCAAACCTGCTGGTCAATACCAAATCAAACCCGAAGAAGTTCTTGACTTCATCGGTAAATTAGAAGTCACAAACCTTCCCGGAGTGGCGTACAGCATTGGCGGCAAACTGGAAGAGGCTGGTATCAAATTCGTGCGCGACATTCGGGAACTTACCAAGGAGCGATTGATTACCGTGCTGGGACCAAAAACAGGAGAGAAAGTTTGGGACTACTCTAGAGGCATTGATCGGTCCGAGGTCGGCGACCAGGTAATCCGGAAGTCTGTGTCAGCGGAAGTCAATTGGGGTGTTCGTTTTGAAAACGCCGAACAAGTTGACGATTTCATTACGAACCTTTGTGGTGAACTTGGCCGGCGGTTGCTGAAAGAGAAGGTCAAAGGACGACAACTCACGATGAAGATCATGCGGCGCGCTGCAGATGCACCACTCGATCCACCAAAACACCTGGGCCATGGGAAGTGCGATGTTTACAACAAGAGCACAACTCTTGGCATTGCAACCAATGACAAGGATATACTCGCCAAGGAAGCTTCATCGATGCTCAAAAGCTTCAAGTTCTCTCCTGGAGAACTGCGCGGTATAGGGATTCAAATGACGAAGTTGGAGCCTCTGAAAGCTTCTGTTGATGGGAAGCAGGAAAGTAGTCAGCGGCTGTTGCAGTTCAAAATCAAGGAGAAGAACAACCCCGTCTCTGAAGAACCTGGGGATCCAATCCAGGATGATATCAAAACACCTAGGAAACAAAAAGCAGATCCGGAACAATTCGAATTCGGAGCGACTCAGCTGAACACAGACAGTCCGAGCCGCAAACCGCTCAACGTCATGGGCACTCAGTTCATTATGCCTACGCAGGTCGACCCCACGGTCCTTGCTGAGCTTCCAGAGGACATACGAATGAAATTATTGAAGCGTGTCCAACCAAGTCCAGTATCTCCGAAGGAGGCAAATATTGCTGTTCCGTCCGTCGAGGTTGAATCAAAGGACTCAAATAAACCGTTGCCTAGAACTATGCTACCCAATGAATCTCAGTTAGATCCTGCGGATTTGGCTGTCCTTCCGCCCGACGTTCGCGCTGAGGTCCTATCTTTCTATCGACAATCACCCGGGGCATCTCCCAGCAGAGGTGACCGTATCCAAACACGTCTTCCTCAATCACCACGTAAAAACCGCACCATAGCTCTCCCAAAGAGGGCTGCTTCGGCATCGTTTGCAGGCCCCCGACGTGGCCGACCACCTAAATCAACCAGCGCCAATCCTTTCGTCACCAACCGTAAAACTTTTACTCAATCAAACTTTATCACTGAACGCCTGGCTCGCCAACAGCCGGACTCCGCTGAAACAACGACCGATGACGCGGGTACTGATGCCGAAGTCGATGCGGAGTTCTTGGCCGCTCTACCGGAAGACATCAGACAGGAAGTTATTGACGAACAGCGCCGTCTCCGTCTCCGCAAGCAGTCTTCCCTGAACCTTGCCGCTGCTCGTAAAAACCAGCCAGCACAGCAACCGCCGGCGTTGCCGTCTGGGCAGCGTACGCTCAAACTGCCACCACGCCCACCAAGACCAACATTTTCAATGCAAAAGATATGGCGTCCGGATGAGTTACGTGAGGCAGTACGAGACTGGGTGAAAGAGTTCAAAGAGGAAGGACCGTATCAGGAAGATCTGGGAGCCTTAAACAGCTACCTCCAGAAAGTAGTGGAGGAAGAAAAGGACCTAGAAAAGGCAGTTGGTGTGTGCAAGTGGTTCGCATGGGTCTGTGAAGAGGAGTTCGAAGGGTTCGGAAAGAAGGGCGGCGACGGGTTTGATGGAGGGGAATGGAAGGAAGCGTGGATGGCCGCATTGAGGAGCGTGCAAAACAAGGTGCAAGAAGCTGTGAAAACGAGAGGCTCGGGTGCAGTGGAGTTTTGAGGTCTCGAATACGCCGTATTCCACGCGTCTGATGCTAACAAGGATGCGTCAATCAAACTAGGGCAAGCCGGCAAGGTTATCCAATCGCATGAGAGATTGAACGAAGCGGCCACTAAATTTTGCTGGAAACACTCTTTCAAGCCCCCTGACGTGACATTCCCGGAGCCATTGAGGGACCGCGCGCTTATCTGGCTAGCCGTTCTCGCATCGTTGTCAGAGCCTGCAGCAATCTCCTTTCCTAGTCCGGTATAGCGCGCCCGCGAAAACGATTACGAGAACGAACTCCACCAAGAATAGTAGACCAGAAACCCAGCCTCAATGTACACAGAACTATTCAGGATGCTAATTTCACTTTCTTAAATACCTGGTGTTCCACGAGCTATGCCTTTCTCTCTCCAGCTCCAGCAGTCAATTCCTTCAAACTCCGTCGACAAATCACAGCAACAAACCAAATTCGAACCATAACTACGCACTCGCGCCAAACTCCACTACACAGTCTTCAAGATGGGCTACCGCTATTATGTGTATGAACCCACGCTTGTGGGAGCCGCCGTCTTCGTGGTCCTGTTCGCTATTAGCACCATCGCCCACCTTGGTCAGCTGGTCATGAAAAGGACATGGTACTTCATACCTTTCGTGGTTGGAGGTCTCTGTAAGAATCCAGGCATATCCCCGCACTTGAAATAGGAGAGTATACTAATATTGCTCAGTTGAGACCGTTGGTTACGTTGGGCGAGCGATGAGTGCGAAAGAAACGCCCGACTGGACGATGAAGCCGTATATTATGCAAAGCTTGCTCATTCTGCTCGGCCCGACCCTCTTCGCCGCTTCGATTTACATGATCCTGGGACGGATAATACGCCTGACGAACGGCGAAGCACACTCGATCATCAGAGTCAACTGGGTGACGAAGATCTTCGTGCTGGGCGACGTTTTGTCCTTCCTTGCACAGTCTGGAGGTAAGTCACACCGATTACTGCAGACCAACTAGATCTTTTCCAGAGCAACTCCCAACTAACAAGCACATAGGCGGCGGCATGCTCGCGAAAGCCTCGGCCCCTTCCGACCAAAAGAACGGCGAGCGCCTCATCACGATCGGCCTAGTGATCCAAATCGCATTCTTCGGCTTCTTCATCGTCGTCGCCGGCCTTTTCCACGTCCGCATCAACATGTACCCGACAGCGCGGTCGCAGCAAGCCACGGTGCCGTGGCAGAAGTTCCTGTTCGTGCTCTACGGCGCCGGCGGCCTCATCATGATCCGCTCGCTCTACCGCCTCATCGAGTACATCCAGGGCGCGAGCGGCGAGCTACAAAGCAAGGAAGCGTATCTGTACGTCTTTGACGCGACGCTCATGTTCTTAACTGCCCTGATGTTCAACATCTTCCATCCCAGCAAGATCATCTCGAAGGAATCGCTTGCCGAGGCTTCGTATATGATGCAGACGGGCGAGACGGATGAAATGGTGCCTGGAAGGAAGCAGGCTGCGTGGCAGAGCGCTGAATCAGTTTAAAGTGGTGGTTTAACAAGTTCCCAGAGAACATCTATAAGCATTGGGAAGTTGGGTGGCTTTCTAGAGGTTGTTAGGCGCTGGGGCGTTATTTGAAGAGAAGGAGCTTTGATTTTAAAAATATGATACTGTTCGTTTTAAGTGTCCACTTGTCTCTTTGCCACGGCTTTACAGTGCCAGTAACAAGTTATATAGTGCCTACTAGCCGTAGTGTAATAGTCTATTATAACTACTTAAGGAACACTCTATAGGTACCGTAGATTTCTTGATATATAGTTAAGGAGTAGGTATAGTATCTAGAAGTAGTAGGCAAACTATGCAGGATGACGCTGCGGATCCACCAGGACGGCTGGTCCGTCGAACAGAAGATTTTGTTCGAATATGACGACGGCGACGACGACGACTGCGACTACGACTGCGGCTGCGATGGCTGCGGCGAGGAAGGATGCGATGGAGGAGGCTACCGGCGCGTAGTATTGTTGATGGATATCTATGGTTGCGGAAGCTGTACGCTATCTACGTCTGGGGCGGCTGAGCATTTTTATAAAGCAGTCAAAGGAACATCAAACCTCTAACCCTATCTATAAACTTTGCTCCGGTCCACTGTATTTACTCGATACTACATGTATATAGCATATTTAAGAACCCAACTATTTCCTTCCCTCGCCTTAGCACGTTCAGTAACGCTTTTGCGTTTCCACATTCCAGACATTATACTCGATACACTAGGTACTAGCAGTATCTATACTAATAGTCTAACGTACAAACCACCCCTCCAGCAAGAACCGCAGAACGCCAGCCACACGCTAGGCACCTCACCCAACTCAGCCAAAGCAACCTCCCTCACAAACAAGCACACACGACCCCCGCACTCCAGTATACAAAAAACTCATATACCACAAAACCGCTCTAGCAGCAACCAACCTACACACAGTAGACAGCACTCTCTATTAGCCATTAGGTAACTACCGACTACCGTAAGCCCGTATAACCGCACACAAACAAGATCAAATAAATAACGTGACAGCAGCCCATCGCCCTTCCGCAGAACGCTGCTGCCGCCATACCTCACCCGCATATGCATTACCATCTCCCATCATCGTGCCTCATCGTCATCGACGTCGTAGTAGCAATAAAATCGTACAAGAACCCCATCCGAAGCAAATCATTCTTCCCTTTTCCATCCCCTCCATCCCCTCCCCTCCCTGCAGGCATTCCAACACGCACCGCATCGCCCTGACCCTCTTTCTCCCGCGCCCAAACCCAAACCCTACCAATCAAGCAGTCGAACCCGATATCTCAGTCCCTATTAATAACCCTCAAGCTCCGTCTCGGATTCAGTAACACGCCCCTCGTCCCCCAGAAACTTGGCTCCTGGTCCCGCAGCAAATCATCCGTACTACTGCCCACGCTGCCAGCGCGACTCCTGCCCGCCGCATCCGCGCCCCCGCCACTATGGCTGCTCACGCCGCCCGTGGCCCCGCCGCTCGTGCTGCCGCTATTACTCGCGTTGCGCGCGGCGCTGAGCCGGCGCTGCCGTTCCCAGCTGTTCTTGGCCGAGTTGGCCGCGCCCACGCCCGCCGCCGCTGGGAACAGGCTGTCGTTGCCGTGCTGCTGCTTCTCCTGCTGCGTGCCGTTGGCCTGCGCCTGCGCCATCGCCGCGTGGTTCTTGTACAGCAGCAGCTGGCGCCGGTACACCCAGGCGCAGAAGCCAAAGTACGCGGCCACGAGCGCCGCCACGCCCGCTACCACGCCCGCTACGATTGCCCCTATGTTTGTGCCGTCATGCGAGCGGTTGCCGTTGTTGAGGCCCGGCGCCGCTGTCTGCGTCGTTGAGCTGCTGAGCGTGTACGTCAGCGGCTTGCCCGTCGCGAGCGGCCCGGCCGTGGGCGTCTGCACGGGCGCCGTCACTGTGGCGCCGCCGGCCGGTGAGCCACCGATGATCGAGACCACTTTGTCCGGGACCGTGTACCCGTAGGAGCCCTCGAGGCCGGACGACGCGTTGGAGCCGCGCTGCTCCGACTGCTGGCTAAAGGGGTTGTAGGAGCCTGAGAACTCGCTGCTGGAGTCTGAGCCCGAGTCTGAGTCCGAGGCGGACTGCTTGCCCGATAGTGATGTGAACTGCGTTCCCCATGTCAGGCTGGACGTGTTGAATACGTAAACGCCCGGCGAGTCGCAGCTGAGATCGGTCCCGACGTAGCCGCCGACGACGATCATCTGTCCGTCCCAAATGTTGCAGGTGTGGCCCGCGCGCTCGTACGGGACGCTCTGGTCCGACATGTCGACTTCGACCCAGGTGAAGCTGGGGATGGTTAGAATCCACATATCATTGTATTGTGTTTGGTCGTTGCCGAGGTCTTGCCCGCCGAACATGTACATGTTGTAGCTCGAGCCGCTGTTTCAGGTCAGATCCGTTTGTCCAATAGGAAGCAAGAGATGGCACTTACTCGGCAGCTGCAGCGACAACGGCGCAGGGGTTGACGCGGATCTTAGGTTGTGTGCCGCTGGTAGGCTGCTTGTACCACGTTGAGTTGGCAATGTCGTAAACGTCAATGACGTTCATCTGCGTCTGAAAGGGGTCAGCTAGGCGCGTTCTGTCGAACGGGACGAGAAAATACACACAAACTTCGAGTTAGTGCCGCCGGCGAGACCCAGCAGGATGCCCTCGTCGCCGAAGCCCGGAACGTAGACGAGAATGCCGTCAGCGCGCTCGGGAAAGCCATTGGTCTCTTGCGAGCCACCCTCGGTGACATTGCGCCAGACGCCATCGCTTCCGGCAGCGGAGCCATCACTCAAGTCCTTGACGCTGGGGTTGGCGTAGTCGGGAAAGGTATACTCGACGAGGCTCTTGATGTAGATGCGGGAGATTTGGTTGCTCCAGCCCTCGGTGGTCCACGTGTCGAGGTGGCCGCCGAAGTAGAAGCCGCGCCCCAGCTGCGGCACGTCGACGCCTGCGCCCTCGGCCGCGCGCTGCACCGCCTGCCCCGCGCTCTCCGAGTTGTCGCCCGCCGACGTCTTCGGGTCGCTGTGCTCGCGCCAGCTGCTCGACGAGATGTCGTACTCCCACAGTGAAAAGGCCGTCGGCTCGTCCGGCGTGTTGCCGTTCGTGCCGTCCTGGAACTCACCGCCATACAGGTACAGCGAGGATCGAGAGTTCCACAGGTACGCCAGCGACACGGCCGGTGGACCTGATGGCTGCGGCAGTCCCTTGAACGAGGGCGACGAGATCTGCCACGACGACGTCAGGTCGAGCGTCAGGAAGTCGTTGTCTGCGTAGGCGGGTTAGTGGATAGGGAAGGGTCATGAGACGGATGATGAAGCTCACTCCACGTGTTGCTGGTCTGGTCAGAATCAGTCGTAGCGCGGCCGCCATAGATGTACAGAGTGCCGTTGACGAGAGCGGCTGTGGCGCGTCGTTAGCTAGTCGATCAGCTATGTGGGGGATCTGTATGTCTCACTCGCGTGACTCCACCGTGTGCACACATCGGTCGGGCTGTCTGCTCGCGGGATGAGAGCGGCCTTGACGCCAAACAGCGGCGTAGTCGACGTGAAAAAGGGCAGGCATTGCGAGAAAGGTACCAAGAGGGCCAGGAACAGTACCAGTGCACTCAATCGGTGCAGTTTCGACATGGTCGGTGACTGGAGCTGCTCCTCCTCTTGCACCGGCCACGCGACAACGTCGTCGCTCTCCTTGGACTCGCCAATGCTCTCTTCAATTGCCTCGTCGACCACGTCCTTTTCAGCACCCAATATCTCTTCGGTGCTCCTGAATCGCACGCTCAAGCGCGGCCTGCGCGGCGGCGCGGCAGGCGGCGACAGTGGCACGAGAGCGTCGTCGCCCAGGAGGCCCACTTCGCAAAAAACAGATCTCCGCGCAGGATTCGAGGTAGCGGACGGCAGCATGGCGACGGGCTCGGGTGGAGGTGGGTGGTGGATTACGGGATCGAAGGCCTGGACTTGCGCGTCTCACTCTAGAGACAGAAGTAGGGCAAGCAGGCAAGCAGGCAGGAAAGAATAGGGTAGGGTAAGTAAAGTTAGGCAGGGCAGGAGACTAGTAGCCGGTCGACTCCACCGGGCGGCATATGACGTCCACTTAAACAGGCTGAGCGTGTGGCGCGGCGCAGCGGGCTCGCCTGCTACGTGGTCGCGGAAACGAGCGAGTGGGCAGACGTGGTGGGAGCATTGGGAACAGCAAGCAATCGCTCACCATGACCTTTTTCTAAGCGACGCGAATCACGGCCGCCGTGGACGTCATGGTGGCCGCCAGCTGAGGCAACGATCTCTGCCATCCCGGGAGGCCTAAGAGCGAACCCGCGTCTTAGTAGTCGGCGATAGAGTGTTAATCAGGTCCAGCGGCGAGCCGATCCCGTCGATTCCTCCGGTACCGAACATTCCCCCCACCCCACACAAACGGCGCCGCCCGCAACTGGCACAGCCACTCCGACCTGGTTCGCTTCTCTTCTCATTTTCTGCCAACAAAGGGGGTATATACAAGAAGTACTAGGTATGTGTGCCATATGCCCCGCCCAAAAATGCCCTGCAAGACGCCAACCAAAAAATTGACAAACGGAACACAACAAGGAGAGAAAGAAAAAAAAAGTTCAACAACAACAAAATGTAGTTTTATCCCGCCAATCCTCTCTTCTTTCTTCTTCCAAAGCCTGCTCTGTGTGTCAGTCGCTCGGAGTGACAAGGGACGAGAAGCCAACAAACAAACAAAAAAAGATCGAATCAAACCAAACCAGAAAAAAAAAAAACTGCGGCAACAAAAACTCAAATAACTCCCCCTTAAAAAAGAACGCTTGCCTGCTGCTTCGCATGACGCCGTGCACCTAAAATAAGCTCCCCCTTTGAAGCCGTAAAATGAGAAAATAACGACCCACCACTCACTCCTCCATCTCACCTACGGTCGCCACCTAGGCCTGTTCTCGAGACTGCTAACCCGGCCGCCAGTCCTGCTCTCAGCCCTGCTGCCCGCACGGCTCGTCGCACGGCTCTCAGCACGGCTGGCAGTGTCACGTGGCGGATGCGGCAGCATGCTGCTCCGACGGCCACCCATGGCACTGACGGAGCGCGGGCCCAGCTTGCGCGACGCAATGGGCGACGAGCTCTCCGACTCGTCGTCGCCGCCAGAGCCACCCACGGCCGTCGACAGCGACAGCGACGCCGCCGTCGGGTCCAGATATCCGCTGCGGCGCCGGGCGGCCGTTGATGTCGGCGTCGGCAGCGACGACTGTCCGCGCATCCCCAGCCGGCTGCTCGAGTTGCCTTGGCGCGACGGCGTGCGCGGCGCCATCACCCCGATGACTGACTGCCGCTTGTTGGACGGCGTCGTGCTGGACGGCCGTGGGAGCGCCGACGGCGGCGGCGAGAGCAGGTTTCCACCACTCCGGCTGTTCGTTGACGACTGCCTCAAGTTGGTGTTGGAGGCGCTCGCGCGGAGGCCGTGAGATGGGGTCTGGTCCTTGCGGTACGGCGAAGGCGTCGTGGTCGAGAGGGGCTTGAAGTTGTGGCCGATGGGCGTGCCTTTGGTGTTGACTGAGTTGTTCCAGCGTGGCTTGTTGGACTGAGGCGTAGGCGTGGGAATTATGCGAGAAGTGCGGTTGGGCGTCGGCGTGGCCATGGAGTAGCGGTGGCTAGCTGCCGACATGCTTCTCTCTCCAGCGCTGGAGCGTGAGACGGTTGTCTTGCGCTGATTCGGAGTAGCTCCGGAAACGGGCAGGCTGCTGTACCGCTTCTTGGAAGCAGGTGTGGACCTCCCGTAGGAAGTAGGCGTGGACCTTCCGTAGGTGCTTTGTCGGTTCGATCTGAACGCCAGCCTCTGCTCCTGCTCTCTCTCCTTGCGACTCATCAGCACGACCGACGAAGCCGGTGAGCTGCCGGGGGTACTCCTATCTATGACGCTGCTGCCAACCGAGCGCTCGCTAGACAAGATGGTCGAGATTGAGTCTCTGAGGTGCTGGCTGTCGTTCATATTGAAATCCTCCATGCGCTGCTCCATGCTCTGCATCTCAACCTCGAGCCCGGCCCAAGTACGCCGCATGTCCGCCTGCAGCCTGAGAATCTCGCCGTTGACAGTCAGACGATCCTTGACACCCTTGTCGATGATTATCAGCACCCGCTCAATGGCAGGGCCATAGTGCATCTTCTTCGCCTGGAAACTCTCAATCTTCTTCGCTGCGGCCGGGAGGTCGTAGTGATGCTCGCCAGAGTCCAATGCTTCTTCCAGCTTCGCAATGCTCCTCTTGACCGACGCACACATCTTTCGTGCCTGGTTACCCGCGTTCCGAAACACCAGAATCCATCTGTCTTCGCCCAATTCTCGCCTCAATGACTCGGCGTCGCGCTCGAGCTTCATCCACTGATTTTCCAGAGTCAGGCGCCGGTTCTCCAGTTCCTCACACGCGCTCGGGAACACGTCCTGGCCGCGCATTTGAAACTGAGCGAGTCGCATCGGAATGAAATCTAGAGAGGCGCGTAGGGGCTGCATGCGCGCGAAGAGAGCTAGCAAGCTGGAGTCTTCATGCGACGTGCTCGGTTGCGACTTGGCCGGCGTGGCGGCAAATGAGGTTGGGAGGCTGTAACGGTTGTTGGCAACGGGCCTGTTGTTCGGCGGCGTTTCCTCCACAATTGTCTCCAAAGACTCGATATCCAGCCCATTGTCCGTAACGCTCTCAGCCATGACGCTCCGGTGTCTGCGCTCTTCCATTTCGAAGACGAGCCTGCTCAGTGCTTCGACCTCGAGCCCAATCTCGCCCAAAACCGTGCTCCACAGTTCTTCCCACTCCATGGCGATCTCTACTTGTTCCTTGACTTCCTGTAGCGTGCGCTTGATCCACGCCCAATCGCCGAGTATGCTTTCCATCGCTTCTACTAGCCTCATGAGCTCCTTTGTCGACAAGCTGCCAATGTCTTCTCTGGTCTGCAGTTCCTCAATCGCAACGACAAACACCTTGATCAGAGACTCGAAGACTTGGATGGCACCATCGACTTCGTCCAGGCCTTCCCTGCCAGCAGCGGCCGACCATTCCACATCATCCTCCGCATCTAGGCCGCTCAGAACCTCCGACGCCTTCGCCACCCAAACTTTTATTTGTCCCGCAGCTTCGTTCAAAGCTCGTGCCGCCGCAGCCGATGTAGGAATTGCCGAGATACCGGCCGACAAGGAGTCCGCTTGTGGCAGCTTGATCGAGGTGAGCTGGCCAATTTGACTGGTAAACGATACGCGGGATAGCGTGTAGATGGAAGGTGCGCGCGAGAGGCTCGACGGATTGAAAAAGGAATCTAAGTCTTGTGGCTCCTCTTCGGGTGAGAACATGCCCATCTGCCGCGGATCTAAGGTCGGTTCGCGTGAGGTTTCCTCTAGTGGAGGGGGTGGGGGAGCATTTGTGGGTGGAGGAGGAGCATTTTTTGGTGGTGGCGGGGGAGGGTTTGCCTCAGGCGGGGAAGCTCTCGCCTCCTCAGGCGATTGTTGGGTCTCCCCAACATTTCTGGAAGCGGACACGGAGCTATCACGCGACTTGCCTGCGTCGGAGTGCTTGTATTTGGGAGTGCCATTTTCCTGCGCGTCCGCCTCGCTGCCCTCGTAGTCCGAGGGCCCCATTCGGTCGCTCAGGCTGAGGAGGGATGAATGGTCACTCTCATGAACCATTGGCCCGAGGTAACCATTACCCTCCATGCCTCTGTCCGAGGGGCTGCCCTCAGCGAATTGCGTGTCGAGCCTCGGCGCCTTGTTGTGACCAGTCCACGCCCTGCCCCTCCGTTCGATCTTGATTGAGTTTTCGCGCTGATGCAAGCTGTCGAGCTCCCTGAGCTGATCCTCAGGGAGACGGCCAACCTCCTGGCCAGCGTTGGAACCTGATTTGCTTCTATAGCGAAGGTCGAGCAGTTTCATGCGAGCCAACAGGCCCGGGCTGGGTTTCCGCAGCGCGCGGCGGCCCGCGGTGCCCAAGCTGTTCTCGAACGAGTCGTCGAGTGGGGAACGGGCGGGAGCGGCAAGGTTGTCAGTGGAGCGATCGCGATGGAAGGACAGGTGTCGACTGCTCCGCTTAGGTGTGGCATCTGTCGAGTCGGGGTCGGGTGCAGCCAGAGCCGGGCGGGAGGGCTGCGTTTGGCGGTCGTCGTCGCCGGAAGGGGAGGTCATGGGAGAGGGTCGCGGCGATCAAAGGTGAGGGTCAGGGCAGTCAATCGGCCTGTGCAGCCGCGTGGCGGGCGTGAGTTGTCTGTCGATTTGCAGATGGATTGGTGTTGCTTGCTGAACGCTGGCCGACGGGGATTTGTCGTTGGCCAGGCGCGACGGGACTACAGGGATCCGCGGTAAGGGTCTCCGGCGACGCGGCGGGTCGTGGCGTGGGTAGCCGGAGATCTCGTGGGAGGCTAGTTTACTAGCAGAGCAGAGGCATCAGGTACGAGTGCATATGGCAAGATGGCGTTGTCGACTACTTTGCTGCGCGGGCGCCGTAAAGTACGTTTGATTAAGCCAGGCCTGAGATTGCATTGGCCGCTGCGTTCTCGACTGGAAACCGCCTCAGGGGTGGGGCCCGGCGGGAAAGACGATTCCAAGAACCTGTAGTTACAGACAGACTAGGGTATCTCTGCGCCTGTTACATCCACACCACAACAGCCCATCCAACAAAGAAAAGTCAAAAACAAAAACAAAAACAAAAACAAAAACAAAAACAAACACACAAAATCTCAGATGAACCCCGCCGCCACCTTCTCTTGCGCCTCGCTGTCCACCACCAGCGTCGGCGGCCTCAGCAGCCCCTGGCGCTTCGACTTCTTCCATTCCATCGTGATCTCCTCCCGCACGCCCTTGCACCACCGCAGCAGCGCCATGTCAAACGCCCTCCACGCCTCGTCGCTCTCGCCGTGCACGATCGCCATTACGTCAACCTTCAGCTTGATTTCCCACCGTAGCTCCGCCGCCTTGACCCAATACCTCAGGTTCTCCGCGCACCGGTACGGCAGCGACGTGTCCGTGTGGTAGATCTTGATCTCCTCAAACTGCCGACGCGACTTCCTAACTAGCTCGTTGTGCAGGCGCACTAGCCTGAGCCCGCTCTGGAATGCTTGCAGGAAGGGCGTCGGTAGTTCCCGAGCCTCGCCGGGATCCGTCCATTCCGGCAGGTTGTCGGGGTCTTCGTCGAATGTTTTGAGAAATAGCAGCTCGCGCTCGCGCTCCCTGCCATCCCAGTCGCCCTCTCGCCAGCTCCACCGTTCGCGCCTTTGCTCCTCGGCGATTTCCTTCTCTTGCTCGGCATTGATCATGTTCTCAATTTCCGTGATCCATGCAAACACGGGCTCTCGTTCATTGTCACGCATGCCTCCGACAAAGTCTCGCGCTGCCATCCGCTTCAACACCTCGAGAACCTGGTATAGCTCGCTTCTGATGCTCTTCTCGGACTTGATCGCGTATAGGCGTTGGGGATCTTCGTGCGCAGTGTAATAGTTCTTTGCTGCCCGGATCGCGAGCGTGACCTTGTCGAGGACGTGGAGACCTTGGATTTCGTGCCAACCTTGGACTAGTTGCAGGCTTGTCTCCGTCGCTTCGGCTTCCTCGGGCGTAGGAGGAGCGCCCAGCGCGTCTTCCCGCTGCTGCTTCTCAGCGGCCTTGGCTGCCGCCTTCTCGCTCTCGGCAGCCTGCCGCTTGTATTTCTCCATAGATTCGGGCTTCTCCGTCTCCGACAGGACACTCCGTGCATCGTCCAAGGCCTCTCTGAGCTCTCGCCTGAGAACGATCATATTCGGAGGCGGCGGCACATAGATCACTTTGTTCTTATATGTGCTGACAGTGGGCGGGAGCATTGGGCCCATGTTCCAAGACACGCCGTCTTCGTCTTCGGCCACGGGACTCTCGACCATTCCTGGCTCGTCCATGATGGCATCATCGGACGACGAAATGAAGCTGGCCCGTTTGTCATCCGAGTAAGACAAAAAGCTGTGCCTAAAGCTCTCGTGAGAGCGATCCGCCGCCGTATTGGGTCCCTCGGTGGGACCGTTGCTCTTCTTACGCTTGGTCTCCTTGTTGTGCCGCCCACCCTTCTCATCCAGCAGGCCGGTTCTCGCGAAATAGTATTGCAGGTGTGCAATGGTGCCAAGGCTCATGACACTCTCTCTGTTCTTGGCCGAATCGGCAAACGTGGTGCCCTCTGGGCGCATGTAACCACGCCGGCCGTTGGGCACGCCGCTGGCGGCAGCGCCCCACGATAACCGCGAACCTGACGACCTGCCGGAGAGAGAGGATGCCGACGAGGAAGTCAGAGCTGGCGAAGCCGAGGCCCAGGCCACGGGGGAGTTGGATCGTTCGGATTGAGCTGCATCGTCGGCCATGATGGGTGGTGAGTTGTCACGGCGAGTCTGCGGGGTCGGCGATGAGGGGTACTTGTACGGTGGCTCGATAGCGGATAGGAAAGGCGAATGGGAAGGTCTTGCGCGGCAGCAACAGCAGGGGCTCGGCAAATGATAAGGCAAGTGTTAAGACGCAGTTGAGCTCGACAAAAAAAAAAATGTTGGCGAGCGCCGTGTTGGAGCAACGGCGGGTTTGATAATCTTTCTGGAACCTCAAGGCGATCCCGGAGACGGAGATTAGCCGTTGACAGGGTAAACGACAGGCCGAGTAAACACTGCGCCGCGGCCCTTCCGCGAGCCGAAATAGAAGGCAGAAAAGGTGACTGGGGTCCCGGCGCGTCTCAGAATGGCGAGAGAGAGGTGTGCTTGACAGGCCGCATCCCTGAATGGCCCTCTCCGCCCGCCCACGTCCTTCGTCGCAACTGCCCGCCCGTCCCGCCCGAGTCTTGGCGGGCGACGCAGGCACAGGCACGCCGACGTCATGCTCGTCGCGCCCGCTGCAATCTGCAATAAGAAGCCTTTCTCGCTTCTCGCACACCTGCAGCCTGTCTCCCCGTTCGGGTTATGCTAAGACTCTTCTCCTCCACTGCCCGCAACATGTCCAAAAGAGTATGCTATACCGCCGTCCTTTTCGCGCTGCACCGCCCCCACAAAGCTGACTTCCTTCGCCCCGGCAGATCAACTACAAGGTCGACGGCGATGTCCAAGGCGTCTGCTACCGTGCCTTCGCCGTTGAGCAGGCCAACAAAATCGGCGTGACCGGTTGGGTCAAGAACGCCTCCGACGGCACCGTAAGCATCCCTACCCAACCCATCTCATCCCCCTCTATTCCCCGCTGACGCATCCCGCCGCAGGTCAAGGGTGAGGCTCAGGGCAGCGAAGACCAGCTGCAGACCTTCGTGCAGCACCTGCGCAAGGGCCCTTCCGCTGCCAAAGTCTCTGGCGTCGAGCAAAATGACATCGAGCCAAAGTCAGGCGAGTCGGGCTTCAAAAAGGAGCACTAGAGTGCGGTAACGCGCAATCCGACCTTTCCTAGGTCCTTCCTTTGATGATGTATGATTGTATGGGTAGCTAGAAAACCAATGGATTAAGAGACGAAACTCAAGTAAACAATAAACAGATAGCATTATACTTTTAGTCCGTGCACGGCGTTGTTTCATATCCATGTCAACTCACAGCCCTACCAAAAACTTCCATCTCAGAAAGATGAACGCATAAAAACGAATGCTGCAAAGCTTGCTTTTCGCTTCCGATTCGCGGAAATGCGATGACTGTAGAGAAATGAGCGGTGCTTCCCTGCCTTAGCCAGTATTTTCCCTTAGTATCCTAGCGATCAAGCACATCCGTTTCATTTCCAAGTCTCCAAACATCGCCTATCTCCCACCGTCATGTGCTACGCTGTGCGCACCGGCCATAAAGGCCGGATAGCCGCGACCCTGATTCTCGGCCTCGTCCTCGTCGTCCCTGTGCCCGAGCACAGAGTCAACGTCATCGTCCATGTTGCCCTGCGCGCTCGCGCCCTGCATGCCCATTCTCAAGTCGCCATCTTCATCCTGCTCATCATCCTCTTCCGAAATCCTGGCCGCTGAAAGCTTGTATCTCGGCTCCGGCTTGGGCTTAGGCTCCTTCGGCGGCATTACGTAGAAGTCGCGCAGCTCGTTGGGATGATTCGTTTCCAAATAGCGCATCAGACTGCTGAGAAGTTCCGGTAAAGTCTCCTGCGGAGGCACCAGCTTCTTCATTTCCTGCAATGCCGCTTTGCGCACGTGAGGCTTCCAGTCGGTGTCGGGATCGTTGCTCTGGACACGTGCCCAGTAGATGCGCTCTTCGTCTGCCGCGCCCATAGTCGCCAGCGTCTTCACAATGTTGTACTTGTCGCCCGGTAGCATCCGCTGGTACATCAAGTATCCGTTCTTGAGACGCCAACTGTCCGAGTCTGGTCGACGCGGCTTTCTGCTGTCCGAGAAGTGCCGCTCGAGTCCTCTGAATTTCATCAGACACTGCAAGCGACTGCGGCGTTGTCCCATCTTCTCGCTGACCAGGTTCCAATCGATGATGACGTTACCGCCTTCATCGAAGGGAGGAGCGTCGGCCGCCCGCCGCGTCTTGCCGCTATTGCTGGGTGCACGATGCTCTACTACATCACGCAGGGCAGTCAAGAAGTCTGGCAGGGTGTGGACGAAGTCGCGAATATCGGGATTGGTCCAGAAGGGCTTGCCGACAACCTCACACGAGAGTTCCTTGCGCCAGTAGCGCTCGTGTTCTTCCGGAAGCTGCTTGAGAAGCAAATCGCAGCACTCATGCACGGCGTTCAGCAGCTTGTTGATCTCATTGTCATCCCACTTCTCAGTCACCTTGGCCTCGCCACACTTGAGATAGTTACGCCAGCGGTCACGAGCATCGTCGGGCATGCGGCCGATCCTCTGGCCAATCTCCTTCCAGCGACCGGGCGCCGCGTTGTGGGCTTGTCTCAGCTCTTCATCTTCCTCCTGAGTCCAGCTGCCACGCTTATCAAAGTTGTGGTACCTGCGGCGACAAAGCCTGTAGATCGACTGACGTTTACGGTTAGGCAACGACCCCGTAATCTCGTCCCACATTGGCCTGACCGACTCATCCATTCCAGAAACGCCCTGGATGAGTTCATTTACGCGCTCTTGGGTCAGGTTATGGTACTCGCGATAGCTCTCTACTGACCCGTCAAGACGAGCCAGCTCCTTGGCAGTAAAGGGACCTTGTTCAGGGAAGTCACCAGTGTTTGTGACCGGGTTGTCCCCAGAAGTATCCTTAGTTGACTCTACAGCTTTGCCCGCATCCGCAGAGACAGAATCGGTTTTCTGTTTGCGTTTCTTGGGCTTAGGCTGAGAGGCAGCCTCAGGATGGTTAGGAGGCGTAGCTTCGGATGGGGATGGCCCCGTAACGGTCTCTGTCCTTGGCTCAGCATCACCAGTCCGCTTACGCTTCTTCTGCTTTGCATGTGAGCCATCGTGAGGCACTTCAGTCGGTTGGGCATTTCCGTTGACAACGCCATGGTTTTCGAGAGCGGGGTCAATAAGAGCTGAATTGTCAGGCACCGACATTTCGGTGCCAACAGAAACTTCGTTTTGGGCAGGAGTAGGGTTGCGAGATCTCTTTTTCTTCTTCTGCTTCTTGCTCGAGTTGGCCTCTTCGTTTGCATCCGCTTCAGGAACTTCGACACGCGACTGTGGAGCCGCTTCAGCTGGTTCAGCTGCGGCCTCGGGAGTAGCCGCATTCTGGACAGGATCTTCTGTCGCAACTTCGTCGTGCCGTGACTTCTTTTTCTTCTTCTTGTTTTTCTTTTCAGACGACTCTTCTGTTTGCGCGACGTCGGCATTTTCTGCCGTTGTCTGCGCCGGCTCTGGTAGCTGAACAGGGGTTACCTTATCACCAGCAGATACCGCCTTGTTGGCCTCCGGAGTGTCAGACTTCTTTTTAGACTTCTTAGATGCCTGTGGTTGTTGAGTTTCAGCAGCTTGTGTAGAAGCGTTATCTTGCACTTGAGCTGACTTTGGCACGTTCTGGACTGGCACCGCGGTAAGAATAGGGAGAGGAATTGGTGTCGAGGAGATCTTTGCCGGCGCGTTCTCTGGGACGTCACGCTTGGATTTCCTTTGCTTCTTGTTTGAGCGCTCATCAGCATTTTGCGCCTCGAGGACCGGCACCGGAGTAGGAGCAACGGCCTCAGACTTCGATTGCGCGTCGGGATTGGCAGAGACGGCAGCAGCATCCTTTGATTTTCTCTTCCTCTTTTTGTTGGGACCGTCTTGAGTAGCACCGGCGTCAGCGTCGCGCGCATCTGTCACAGTCTCAGCAGGCGCAGGCTCAGGCGCAGAGGTCGAAGGTTCTTGCGCGGCCTCATCCGGCGCGCTCCTGCGCTTCTTCTTTTTCTTTTGGGAGTCCTTGTTCTGAGGAGCATCGGGAACAGGCACAGGAGAGACTGGTGCATTCTCAGCGCCATCCGTCACCGGGTCGGCCGTGTTTTCATCTGCAGCATTTTGCAAGTCGCGACTACGCCTCTTTTCCTTCTTGCCCTTTTTATCCTTCTTCTTCTGCGTGTCAGACTGTGGGGTTTGCGCTTCAGTGGCGAGCTGGGAGGATGCGGCAATGTCGTCTTCTGAGCATTGTGTTAGAAGGCCAAGTTCGAACAAGCTAGAAACGCGTCGCAAAGACGCGTAAAAACGGATGGAGAAGGACGGGCTCACCGTGACCGGGCTTACGCGGAGTTGGCGCCGCGAAGACGTCTGCGTCCGGAGCCGCCGGCTGCGACGAGGTATTTCCCATCGCACCGAATCGATTGATGTGCTTGGCGGGCCTGGAGTTTAGCAATGCTCGCGTGTTGGTGGTCTTCCAGGTAGCAGTTCAGTGGCATCAAGGGAGTCGCAGAAAGGATTTTGACTGATCCGTGCGCTAGTGGCTTGGCACTTTTTGGTCCGGTGCGGGGAAATAAAAGCTGACCGCTCAAGACACCACCAACGCCGTGGAAACCAGGCCACGACCTCTTGCACATGAGCAATATATGACATGCAAACGAACTCGATACAATCAAATTTACATACTCACAGCTATACGATCATAAGCAGTGGTAATCAAGCAGTCTTTTTCATCCCTTCCATCCCTTCACTGAAGCTTCAGCACGTCCTCGTTCAGCGTCCCGTACAGCTGTTCAATATCCCGTCCCAACTCTTTGATGTCGCTTGCCAATTGTCCAGTAACCAGCGCATACGCGTACAGCAACTCATAGTCCTCGTCGGTAGCAAGCTCATTCTTCTCGGGATTCTTTCTGAACTCGTAAATCTTGGCCAACAGTCTGTCGCGCGTGTGTTCAATGTTGGGCAGTGCATCGCTGAGCGGATATTCCAGTTTCATTGAAGATGCCAGCACTGTATTATAATCAGCATCAACGACTGTCACATGGTTTTCGAAGCAAAGCATACCTGAGAACAAATGGCTGATACGCGCAGACAACTGCATACGTTCCGAGCTGGTGTATCGAAGCAGCTCGGCTTCTCCCGAGCTTGCCTTGAGATCCTTTGTAATGACCACGTTCATCGCGTGGAAAGCATCCAACATGCGTCCAGTAGCCTGGAGCAACCTGCCGTAGACTTTGTTGGGGAAAGGTCCTTGAAGTTCGAACTCAGACGTAGCCGACTTGCGCAAAGCTTCCAGATGGGTCAGGAAACGTTGAAGTTCAATGGATTCTCTGATGTCGTAGTAAGAATGTTTGGAGGCACCGTCGAGCACTATAGTCAGCGGATCTCTCTTCCAGATCAAGCCCATACGAAGCCAGAGGATGCAGATCCCCTCTTTGATCTTCTGTCGGGCACTGGTAGGCCAGATAACACGGGTCACGATGATTCCCCATATGCATCCAGCCATAACAGCGCAGACTCTGTGAAGTGTGATTTCCCAGATCTCGGGGCTGACACCCCCTTCGTCATCCCCATCGTCGTCGTTGTCCTGAATAGAAAGCGAGTAGGCATAGAGTGCGGATAGGTTGTACGTTAGTAAGATAAAGCGACCCATGGGTCCCTTGCCCTTGCCGATAATGATGTAGAAGCAGCCAAAGGATACAAGCCATCCAAAGAAAGCTAGAACAAAGGGGTTATTGTGCGCGGCGATCCATGCAACAATAGCGCAGACTGCTCCCATGCAGGTACCCAGGAAACGCTGGTAGCCAGTCGTGTTAGAGGCGCCAATAGTCATCGCACAAACGAGCATGTACGACAGCAAACCCCACTCGCCACGCCAATGGCTATAGTACGGCCTCGTTTCCGGAATATAGGCCCACATTGCGAATAATATGGCACCGATGCCGGTTTTGATGGCATATTTGATGTCTTCTCTCCGGAAGAAGCCAAGGCGCACCCACAGATTAAAGGCCATACGGTGACTCCTCTTCTCCAACTTCGAAGGAGAATTGACAGCCACGCTGGCCCGTCTTGCTGGATTCGGCATTCCCTGTGACATGCCTTGTTCCGCACTTTGTTCGACTGCATTTGGTGTTTCCGGGCGGCTCAAGTCATCATTGCTATGCTTACTCTTGCGCCAAAACAGGAGCCAATTCCAGGAACGGCTATGAGGCTTGCGATCCAAATTATCCTTAAGTTCTTCCAGGATGTCAAGGTAGGTGATCATGTCTTCTGCAAAATCCTCCAAGGCAGAACTGAAGTAGCCACAGCAAGCAGCCACCTCCTCGTAGTCCGCCAGGATCTCCATTCGCTTGGTCTGACCTGGAACCCGGCTAGTGTAGAGATCAGCCAGTGCCTGCTTTCTTGCCTTTACGAAAAGCTCGTTGGCTTGGAGCAAGCTGCTGCGGAAGTTGCTATTCACGGAAATGAGGTACTCCGGGCCTTCGCTGAATGGGAGGTCGTCAAGAACTGCCTTCAAAGTAAATGCCAGGGACTTCATAGAAGGACCAAGGTGCGCGATGAACATAGAGAAGATATCAGACGGTGTCTCAGCGGTTAAGCCTCCGCTTGGCGCTGTCGAAGCCCCGGCTCCAGAGGATTGGCTTGCACGGTCACTCTCCTCATCAACCTCACTAATAGCCGCGAGACTACTGAGATGAGTGTGAGTGGTTTCCGGAGACTGGAAAAGGGTAGTGTTAAAGTCTCCAGAATTTATTCTAGAGATGGCAGTTGACGCGGTAGTACCAGGATGCTTGGAGATAAGAGCGAACTGGGTAAGGGCGGCTCCTCGCAAGCCACCCACGTCTTGAGCAAGGCGTTCCATACACCTTTTGGTTGTTTAGTTTAAGAAATAAAGTTAGCAATTAGGAGAGAACACTCACCTGACAAGTCGCGCCTCAATCCAGTATTCCTTCTCCGTGCCTAGAAGGTAATGCTCCATTTTGGCTTCTCCCAAATTTTTAGTTAGGGAGTTAAAAACAGATTTGTATTTTTCAGCAGCTTCCACATAATCGGGATGTTTGAGATCTTCCTCGAATCCTGAGAGAAAACTTCGAGTGATCATGGTTAACATATCTCCAATCGAGTCTGTCGTTTTCATAAAATCCTCGCGCAGGTTCTTCCGAGCCGAGATAGGTTGGATGAGCAAGCTGACTCCGGTGGTTGCAATGATGCCCATGATCACCATTTTGAGGACTTGGAAGATCTTGTCGTAAGAGAACTTGGCTGCTTGGATGGAGCCCTCTTTGGTCAAAATTGTGATGCAGGCGAGAGATGCCAACGAGCAGGCGACGTTGACGAGAGGGTTCCCCAGCCTCTGTTTAAACCAACCAATAAACCCTAAACCACCACCGCAAAACACAACGAGCACGATGGCATGTCCCAGTTCAAGCATACCCAACCTGCCGAAGGCGACAGAAACAGCCATGCTTGTAAAGGATATAAAAGAGGCATAGAGGAATGCGATGAGGGCAAGCATGGTGGCTTCCAGCATACTGCCAGCAGACCTAGCCGGATGGAAATAGACGGTGATGGTAGCAACCATATGCTTTCCGTCATTTTTCCCCAAGAACTCGTGTAGTGGGGGGACGAATGTCGCCATACTGCCCAGCAGGTATGCGATGGAGCATTTCAACATGCTCCGTCCCAGTTTGGACGTGGCAAAGCCGTAGACGACCTTGGATCCATGTTTCGCTTTGTTTACGGCGCGTCCGAGTGGTCCTGTGTGCTGTTGCGGGGCGGAGTGGTTCCCAAGGAGGGGCGTGCTGTCGTCCGCATCTTCTTCGTCGTCGTGGGTGGGCGATCGCAAAGTGAAGGTCCGTTTGACACGCTCGCCCGTCTTGGGCAGTATCAAGGTTGCCTGGCGGAGCTAATGGGCGCATGTCAGTCGAGAGACTTTAGCGGACGGGAATAGGGACTTACGCCGGGCCTCATGAAGCGTCTTGCGCCCGAGGACTTCGAAGCTCCAGTCATCACTTGCTTTTCATGTTTGGGAGCGGCGGAAAGTGGTATTTGAGCATACCGCTACGTGTGGGGTGGCCAGAAGAGTCCGTGGTAGGCCCGAAGCGCACAGCAGCTGTTGTTGGCAACTCCGCGTGGATCAGCATCGAGCTTCACCGGAAGCTTGGACCCGCTCCACAACTTTCTTCTTCCTCGCCAACCCGAACGCCATCTCCGCCTTGCGCCCAACACCCCCATCATGGACGACATGGAGATGGACCCGGAGATGGCCGCCGTAATGGGCTTTGCCTCGTTTGGCGCCAGTAAAAAGCGCAAGTTCCATGCCAACGACGCCTTCGTCGAAGGCCAGTCTGATGCAAAACGCCCCAAAGCTACCGGCACCGGCGCCAACATGACCGAAATTGGTGCTCGCAAGACGTCAATCGACGGGGCGCCACAGCCTCCAGACGATGCCCCTGACGCAGAAAAAGAAGATGCTGTAACGCCATCGCACCCATCCTTGCCGCCCAAGCCTTCTGCCTCTTCAGAGCGACCAGGAGACCTAGCCAGTGGCTTTAAAAACGAAAACGGCGACATGGCGTACTTTCTACCAAGCTTTGTCGAAGATCCTTGGCACAGGCTGCTGAATACCAGCTTGAGATCTTGAGATGGCAACGCTACGCAACTTCTCCCTTCTTTTCTTTCTATGCATCGAAAAAGGGCCATCTTGTAGTCGACTAAAGCCCAGTGTTTGCCAGAGGGCTTTACCAGGCCGAGTGTGACTCCAAAGAGAAGCCACAATATGCAACGATGACAAAATCCGCCAGCTTCAACTCTCGGTCAACATCTCTAAAACAGCAATTCCGCCTTGTGTCCATCCTAGGCCAGGTCTCCTTGGTTGCAGGCGTGATCAACAGGCTGGGCTTGGTACTTCTGTTAGGCCATCAAATCGAAAAAGGCCCTATTCCTGTGTTTTGCTGAACTGGCTGCGGAGATATTAATTACGGCTGCAACAAGCATTGGTGTCTGGGTCAAAGACTCGCACGCGAAAATCTGGATCTCATGAACACCGACCTTAACATTCATACCTGGCAAGTATAAGAATATACAACCTGCCTACCCAACTCCTTTAACTGTCGCGCGCCGTGAGCTTCATACATTTTCATACCGGGCAACGATGAAACGATTATATTTCGTCTCACAAGATCTCTTGCTTTTTCACTACCGAGGATCACTCATTTCACATGATCGGCCAAGGTTGTCCCGCACGATGCCTCACCATATACTCACGTGACGGTATAGTGCACGGGCACATGAATCTACCTACGATTAGCAGCACACCCTCAACGACCAGCCGCACCCCGGCTTCCGTCCACCTGCCCACTTAGGGCCCCGTACGGGCAGGCCCCCGAGATGAGCTAACCACCGTCCCAGCCAGCCACCTCGCAGGGACACGGCGAATCAGATGGCGAAGCGCAGCTCGCGAGCACCACACTTCGCTGTCACGTTGCCCTCGCCTCATGCGGGTCACGCACACCCGGGGCACACGTTAACGCGTTTTGCAACCGTCCGTTCCATAATGGGAAGCCAACAGGACTCCTACAATTATCTGATTGGCCGACGCACCCCTTCCCACAGCCCTTACATACTCGAGCGTTTCAGATGCAGACCCGAAGATGAAAAGAGAGAACAAAACCCGCACCGCTACCCACCAAAACAGCGACTGGAAGAGTGGGCGGGCCAGAATGGGAAAGGAAGCAAAAGCCGCAGCATGCCAGCCCAACCAAGGAAAAGCCAAAGTAAACAACCGCCCAACCGGCCCCAAGGCCTGTCTGGTCCAACCTATCAGATAGCCTCCCAATGGAAAGGAAAGGAAACAAGGCCCAGAAACAGAGCAAATCACCAACGCTCCCCCTGTCCGCCTACCCACCTGCCCGCCTGCCCATGCCGCTGCCGACAGCCGCCATTGGGCTTCGACGCCCCGCCCCCGTCACGCCCACCGCCGCCGGCAAGCAAGTACCGAGGGAAAAAGCACGGCGGAAGGGCGGTATCGGGTAAGACAGTTGCAGCCGCAGCAGCAGCAGCAGCAGCAGCACGCATGCCACGGCACTGGTGCGAGCCGCCATAGGGCAGTTCGCAGTGACAGAGGTGCAGCACGAACCCGCGGGGCCGGTCCGCTCGCAGCCAGAGAGGGCAGCGAGCTCCGTCCGCGCAGCATCCGCCCAGACCCCAGCGCGAGGATCGACGCGGCCGCTCGCTAGGCGCGGTCCGAGCCGCTGTCACGGCCAGGGCGGGGCTGCAGCGAGCAGGGGCGGCGCCGACCGCTGACCTGCGCGGGGTGATCGATGCCAGGGCGCTGCGTGGCGCATAGGGCTGCGTAGGGCTGAGGCAGGGGGTTTTTCAACGTCGAGTCGTGAGCTTAAGGAGGACCGCTGGTTCTGCGCTGGTTTCTGGACCGTGGGTTGTCGAGTCGTGGTATCGTTAGGTGGTAAATGGTGAGTTTTGTACATTTTGGTGCAATGCAATGCCGGAAATTAGAAGTGCGAGAAGCAGACGATGGAAAGGACAGCTTTTCGGTGGATGAGCGAAATGGCTCGTCCGCTTGATGCTCGCTCGCTCCACCGCGCGCAAACTGCCGTGGTGGCGAGCGAGCATGAGGACGGCGGAGCTAGCAGTCGACGGGCGCCGGATACCGCTCTGACGCCATCTTGTACTCGGCCGGGTACTTGCGGGCAGCGCGCTGGTTGATCGAGCTGAAATTTGCCTCGTCAGCCCAAAAATCCCTCTGGTTCCCTCTCACTCACTCATCTTTCCTCGTCGCTCATTTCTCTCCGCGAAACTCAAGGGCGGGGAAAGCTCACCTCACGCGTTTCTGCGTCCACTCCAGGTCGCGCTGGACCTCCTTGGCAGCCTTCATGCCGTCGGCGAAGTTCCTGCTCGTGGCCGCGAGCCGGCTCTGCGCCAGGGCTTGCAGCTGCAGCAGTTCGCGGGATTTGGCGTTGAGCTCGCCAGAACTGGATGTTTGCAGCGCGTCAGCACTCTGCACACAGGGAGGCGCGTGGGATGTCCCCGCTTTCTCTCTCCGTCCCCCTCACTGAACAAACAAGCACACGGACAATCCAAATCGCGCAAAGGGGGCATGGATGGGCACGGGCACTCACGTCTGCGCCTGCTTGGCCAAACTGCGGTCGAGCGGCAGCGGGTCAAACGCGCCGTTCAGGCGGTCGCCCATGTAGTCGAGCAGGTCGATGCTCGCGGCGCCGGGGCCGCTGCTGGCTTCATAGTCGCTGGTGGAGCCGGCGTAGCTGCTGGAGGTGGCGGAGGGGTCGTACGAGGGCCCGCCGGTGGTGACGCTGTCGGCGGCCTCGGGGGGCGAGACGGACAGCCGCTCACGCGCGTTGTGGTGGTGCGGGGGCGTGTAGTAGGGAGACGGCTTCCTAGGCATGCTGATGGGCATGCTGCCCGATTGGGGGTAGGCGGGGTAGGTGTAGTAGGCTTGAGTGGAAGACATGGTGGTGGTGGTGGTGGTGGGGGAGAAGATATGGGACAATGGGTGTTGGTTGGATGGAGGTGAAGGTAGGTGGGTGTTTGCTTGCAGAGAACTAAAGCGTAGTGATGATGATGATGATGAAGATTGGATAAGTATATTCTCAGCTGAGCAAACTTTGCTTGATGAGGAAAAAGAGAATCAGAAGAGCGTCCCGCCATGGCTCGCACCGTCGCCCTTTTTATAGCCCACCGACGACAGCTTGCCCCCCTCCGAACCCGAGGCCCCGGGGACAGACGGAAAGTCACCTAAGTCAGGGAGCCGACTCGGGGGGGCAATTGCTGGGGTGGAGGGGTGTGGTCGATGTGATGGGCATCAGCGAGCAGCATGAGCACAGCCAGCACCGGGCAGCATCTCGCAGGGCCGGGCCACGCTCACAGGGCGCCTCAAGCTGAAATCAAACCCCGCTCGGTGATGGGAGCTGCATGGTATGGGAAGGGGCTCCGGGGCGTCCTATGAGACGGCGGCATGGTTGGCCCTGACAGGGCAGGATAAGCCGTGTAGAAGGGAGAGGGAGAGCATAAAAAGCCGGCTAGAGAAGGGTAGCCCCAAACCATGATCCCCGCCAATGGGGTTAATAAAGGGATTGGCAAAGAAGTCTTGGACCGTCTCTCCGTCTCCCCCCCTCTCTCTCTTCTTCTGGAGAGAGAGAGATACAGTAGGGCCAAAAAGGAAAAAAAAAAAAAGGAAAAAAGGTACACCAAAAACAGAGCTGCAATCATCTGGCGCATCGGATGGTCGAACGGGCAGGCTTCCCATTGAAGAAGGCCAGGCCAGCGCGTGCATCTTCATGTCCTGTCGCTGCGCTGTAAGTGATGCGTTGTCAACGTCGCCCGCGGCCCCATTGGCCCTCCGTCTGCAGAGCCCGCAGCAACGGCCGCGCATGTGCTCGCTGCTGCGTGCGCGCCGACATCATCGCCCGTTTGGCGTGACTCGTCGCTCATGCGGTTGTCGGCGCCACCGTGAGCTGCTCCTGTTGCGATACTTCCGTGCCGCAAGCCATTGATTGCCATGCCATGCCATGCCATGCGCGCGCCGGGCATCAATTGCGACTATCACTTCTCCTTCTCTTCCGTCTCCTCTCACTCTGTCACTCACTCACTCACTCTTTCCGCGAATTGGCGGTGTGCACACGCATGCTTGGGTGGGAGGTGGTGGTAGGTGGTGTAGATGTCTCTGCCCGCCACTTGCTGCTGCT